CATGGGTCACACTCTGCGTGTCCTGTAATAAGAGATGAGAAGGTGCCAGCCAGGATACTCAAACAAGCCTTTAGCAGCCCAGGCACACATCACATCAGCGCGTTACCTCAGCAATTCATTGACCCGCACCCAAGTGCCCTTGTTTTCACAGCAGCCCTCATCCATTGTCACTGTCTAGATGAAATTGTAGCCTTCTCGGTGATTTGTGAGGGGCGGGGGTGGGGGTGGGGGGTGGGGGGTGGTGGAGGGTGGGGTGGGGGGGTGATCAGGTGACCAGTCACATTCCCTGTTTTGCCTCAGTGAGACTATGTAGGTCACACCCTCCTTTTCACTCATTAAAAATTCAGGATGGAGAGACCTGCTTCATTCTCCACAGGTGTGAATTTGTTTTTTGTTTTTTTTAACACAAAATAAAAAATAAAATCTAAAGTGTTTTTGCAAAATATCGTTTGCAATGAAACTGAAGCTAAAGTATTAAACCTTTGAGTTTAGTGACATTCATAGTCACGTTTGCAAGGCTCATTTTAAAAATCACCGTCACTTTTTAACTCCCTTCAAACATGGATGTTTACAGTTGAGGGTGGAAAAAAAGAGAGATGAAAACCTATTATTTGAAAGACTTTGCACTTCCTTAGGTGATATTGTAATTTTATTTGGACATGTAAAGGATATTGGCAAGCTCATCGAAGCTAGCTGAAATTATTAGCCTGGGGTTATTTTTCAAAGCAAGCGCTTAAAGATTTAAAGAAATGGAGAAGGGTAACTGTCAGCATGGTGATTATCTACTGTCTTGATGTATGAACGTGATCACAATATGACTAGAACACAGGAGAAAAAGGGGGAAGTTTTCTTTGCAAAAAAAAACACTAAAGTTGGAAAGTTTGTTATTGTACTTATAAGCACCTAATTGCAGAAAGAACATAGAACAGTGACAGTAGTTTAGATTAATGTTTAAACTGCTTAGTCATTCTGTAATATATAGAGTACAGTTACGTTATATGTGGAACATGGCAAGGACTATTGATATTTACTGTTTAAGGGCCATGAGCGAGCTGCTGTAGGGTTACCAGCAAATCTAGCGGGGCCCTTGCTGATGCTGTTGTTTGTGAAATAAGTGGATACTTAGGTTTTTTCGCAGAGTTAGATGAAAAGACAAATCTGTGGTCTGTGTTAATATGAAGACTTTGCATTTTTACACATCTGTGTTCATACAGATTTAACAGTGGTGGTAGCTTCATATTTGATCAGCAGATATAAGAGTAGTATTGATCTTCTCATCTAACATGGTAACACCGTGGGGTTGTACACCTGTTGATGACACTGTGGTAGATGCAGAGTGGAATCATGCATGTTCAGAAATCTGATGTCTGCATTTAACTTGCTGGTCGCTCAACTACATCCATATGTGCAAAACGATTCAAATAGTTAAATTACTTTTTTCTTTTTTTTCTTTTTGTGTAGTTTATGACCGAAACTACAAAAAATTGTGAGCCATAAAAGGAAAGGAATGATTTTTTATTTTTATTTCACCACTGCTTCTCTACTGTAACTGAACCTCCTTAGACCAGCCCCGGCCGCTGTGAAGACATGCACAGGCATTGCATTCTTCAGGCAGTCAGCACCACACACTTGACCTTTGTGTAGTGCATGTGCGAAAGCCAAGGGTGGGCACTGCTCAGTGCTCACACAGCGACAACATCATCATGCATAAACCTTCTAAATCTCAGCCTGAGGACAAATCCTTATGGCCATACTTAGGCAATTATTGTTTACAAAACCAAAGCTGACATTCCAGCACCTTCCCAAGAATAGTGGAGTATTTCATTTTTTTTTTGTCTATGTATGACCTGCAATAAACTCAATTGAGTGGCATTTTTTATATTTTGTTACAGTTTCATATCTCATGAACATTGTGAATTTAAAAAGTAGTGGTCTTTTTTCTAGGTAGCTTAAGTTAACCAAACCAGATTTCTCCCTTGGGTATCTTTGCTGTAGTTCAACTTCTTCCAGTGTAAAGTAATTGGTAGCTTGTATACCTATGCTTTCAAATCAGTTTCCTCACTGTGTATGCAAGTGTAACTAAGGCAGAGCTCATATTCACTCTCATTGAATGAATGCTTACTGCACAGCTACCACAGTAGTTCTGCTGACTTGCTCCCATGCAGTGTATTATATTATCATGTCAGCCACACTCTCTCTCCACTGCGCTGCTTTAATTCATGTCGCCTACTAAATGACATACATGCCATCCAGAGGGATTGCTCTCTATGATATGATTGTCCAACAGTCTGGCACTCTTGTCTTCCCAAAGTCAGACTTCTGTGGTTTTTGATGGATGAAAAAAGTAACTTAGGAGAAACCCATGTGTCTCTTTGAAACTGAGCATAGACTTTTTTTTTTTTGTGAATTGCACCTGGGTTGAAATAAACATAGGTGGCCTAGTTAGAGTTGTGACACGCAGCAGCACTTGCTTTTGAAATTTTTTCATGATGCACACTAAGACCAGCTGCACTTCTTTGGCACTAACTGGAATACTTCAGTCCAAAAGAGATGCATGCATCAATTTGTGAGTGTTACTCAGATTTGAATTGGGACGTTGTTGGTGTAATCTGACCACATACTGTTTGTCATCCAGTATGTTGTCATCTATTTGTACAGATCAGACCAGCTGATTGGGAGAAACAGGGTGACAGAGATATGCATCATCAGCTATACAAGATCTCTCTCATTTGTGATCATGTGTCTGTGTCTATGTGTGCGCTAATGATCTCTGCTTATTGTCATTGCTCTCTTGAACTTGCTTTGTGCAGTGGAACATCTACGCGCAACAACCACACTGCCCTCCTGTGGGAATAGGAAGTATTACATATTCATAACCAGGTCTGTTCACACTTTGATGAAGAAAATTAAAGCTGCTCTTACAGTATTGATCTGCCAACCCTGATTACTGCCGGAATATCATATCTGTCTTTTATAAAATATGAATTTGAAGAGCTTGGCTTGTATGATTGATTGAGTGCTGATGTTTGTAGAAGAGGTTTCCTATCTGAATGAGAGGAAATGATCGGATACCCCGGACGGGAAATATGCTAATTCAGATACAAGGAGGATTTCATTTTGAACAAGTTCAGTTTCAAAGTCAGTTAGAAGTAAAAGTGTATGTTGTGTGGAATCAGTGCATGTCATTCCAGCCAGGATATTGTTGTTTGTTGTTTTATTTGTCTGGGTGGATCCACATTACAGCTTAGAGGAATGTAGATCCAGTGTGTCACACGCTTTAGCAATAGGATGTAATATAATCTACCTGAATTCACACCTGAATCACAGTGGAAATAACAGGTAGAATCCAGCCTGTCTAATTCAGCTGTATTAAATATATATATATTTTTTTTCATCTTTCCAAATTTGTGTACTTGTTAGGTTGATGGATGGATGTTATATTTATACCAGGCGAGGTCTCTCATGAAAAAGCCTCCCTCTCTCAGCTGCTGACTGCAGGTTGTATTCTGTCTTACTGGCCGCAGCGCACACGGGGAAACAGATGGTTAATAAGGTCACAGCAGACGTGCCTCTCACTAGTACAGACAAATTGCAGACTCACCAGCGGTGCTGACTCAGGACAACATTAGACTCAGGGGAACTGAATTAAGACCTCTTTTTGTAATGAGGGAAGTTGTTGCTTTGTGTTTTGCTTGCCTTTCATAGGAGGAGACTATCCGTAGATGGACATATAATAATACATTCTTAAAGGCCCTGAAAACGTATTTTGTCAATCAGCCTCTTGGTTTGAAGGATGAGGTCGTACCTCAACACATCATTTTCTGTCAAACAGTTTTTCACATGACAGATTTCTGTATTTGTGTTGTTGTTTGCTGTTCTCTCATCACTGCTTTGAAGTGGGTGGCTCTGCTGGAAAAATGTTTGTCTCGTATTTCCTTGCATCAAAATGTTTTGACAGTGGGGAGTTCACCCCTAATGAAGGTTAGTTGAGTTTTTGATTGATAAACTCTTAGGGGAAAAAAACTAATTATTTACTAACATTACATTTGATTGTTGCTTATTTAGTAATGACTATTTCATGTCATGGACTTTAAAGCTGGAGACACACTGGAAGAACGTATGTGTACTGTACATAGTGAAGATTTCAGATATTTTTACTCCAGGTGTTTAAAGACTTTCACATGAGATCATTACTATCATCATTGATATCTGGATAAGGTAAAAAAGAATTCTTTACTACAACCTACAGTAAGACTATTTTTGCCTTTTGTTTCTCTCATAAAGAGCAAAAATCACTTATTTGGACTCCTTAGAAAACACATCTTAGATCCTTTCATTACCAATAATTCTGAAGTGCCCTCATTTCTGGTACAAGATTCAGAGGTTGACTGACTACCAGACCAATTCGATTTCTGTTCTAAACATAGAAGTTGCTTCTTTAGAGCGTAAATCTTTCTGCTGTGAAGGCTGGTGGATAATGTTCTGCTCTGATTCTGTTTGAATGTCAGAAAGACTTTGTCAGAGCTGATCAGAGCATCCTAACTGATAATTGATTAAACACACTGATCTTAATGGAATTTATTTTTGTTGTAGCTTTCAGGCAGCAAATTGCCTTAGAAAGTACAGTTGTTTGCAAACTAATCAAGGTAAATTACTATAAAATGAATGCATTTAGTTTACTATACATCTCCACCAAATTGTGCAGAAGAGTACTACTATAATTTTAACAAAAAGTACAACTGAACAGTTGATTGAATAAATATAGAGCAAAGACAAATCAAATTTAGTTTTTCTGTACTTGAGACAATGTTTTCATAGGAACCAAATCACAATAATGTCTCTATTAATTGCATCGTTCTTAGTTAAAATTTCAGAGCAAGCATTACTGATAATCTGAAAGTACCAGTATCTACTTAAGAAACAAATTTGGACATAGAAATTCCAACTACAATACACCGAAGACCTTATTTAAACACTCTTTATTTTACAATAATACTGCCTATGTGTGACAGGTCATTAAATTATTACATATTTTCAAACAAACAGGCACATTAACTCTTTTATTGTGGCTTAATCACCTATATTTTTAAAATCTTATTCTGTATCCCTGTAGTTTTGATTCAGAGTACGCACTGCAATAATTACAACACCTTGCACAGTTGGAAAATCAAAACTACACGTCTTTGAGTCAACAAACATATAAACAGTACACTACCCATACAGGTTTGGCGAATAAAAATCTGTGTTCAGTGCATAATGTGCATGGCATCGGAGAAGATACATTCATCACCCTGTTCACCGCAGCTTTCTGCCTCAGTCCTCGGTGTCAGAGCTGTCTGCTGGGTCGGTGTTGTGGGTCAGCATGTAGTTGTCCATGTCGATGGAGGGGCAGTTGTGGATGGAGTAACGCAGACGCTCAGCGAGAATAGCCTGGCTTGTGTACGGGGGCAGACGAAGCAGGAAGAAGCAGGTCTGAGCAGTAGGGAGGCCATTGACGGGCTGGAGGGGATGAGAAGGGTGAATTTTTTATTTTTAATATTGGCATTTGTTTTTGTAAATAGGCTAATTACTTCATTAGAAAGGACCTTACCCTGTCAACCTTGATGATTTGGAACTTCTGTGTGATATCAGCCGGGTTGGAAGGCAACCTGGACCTGCCAGAGACGAAACGTAGGAACAGCACCCTCTCCTCATTGGTGAACTCCTCCAAGCTCTGCCAAAACCAGCCAATGAGCTGGTGGCTCTCAGTGATGTCACGGTAACGCACTAGCTTCTTCAGCATCTCAACAGAGACCTCTGGCAGGCCACAGACCAGCTGCTCCAGCTGCTGTGCTGTCAGCAGGGAGAGGAGGGGCACAGGGATGATGGTGGACATGCCCTCTCTGATGGCTGCCACCTGGACACAACAGAGCAACGTCAGCTTTGATACTTCTTAGGACGAGATAAAGGGAACAACAACGGGAACAACAAACAGGCTGTCGAGTGGGCGCTAATGGAAACTGGTGTGCAGACTGAATGTTTAAAATGGAGGTAGTGTTTCACGGAGAGAAATCCACACCAAAGTTATTATTTTCCCAAAGCCTAATTTACAATCAGTGAAGATACTCTGTTCATATTTGAGAGGCTGGAACAAGCGAATTTTTAGCTTAAAAATTTAATTCTTGCAGATTGATTTTATTTTGGTGGTTTTACTGTTTTAGTGCTTCCTCCTTCCCAGTTTTTGTTTTATGTGCCAGAAAACCAGAAAACTGGTAAATGTCCCAGGCACACTCATTAGGAATTCATTAGGAACTATTTTCTCAGGGCTACAAGCAGTGAACATTTATTTTTCAAACACTACTCCCTCGTACTGCTACTCTGAATCGTTTTAGTGCATCATTTGCTTAAATGGATTTTCTCTAATATAAACAAACTGTAAGAGCCTCATTCAGTCACTTGTTGCCAGTCTGTTTTTTTTTTCAACTGCTGTGTTTTCACTTGCAGACTGCAGAAATAAAATTGAACATATTGTAGAGTTGAGGCAGAAACGAAGAGTTCTGGTTTGTGAGTGGTTGACTGTGTCCAGTTTGCTGACGAGGTGCAGAATGTTCCTTCCATGTGTAATGATAGCAGCTAGTAAGGTCTGCACAATGGGTCCAAGTGAGAGCTACTGACACATGGTTTAGGCTTATTACGTTGGTGTTTCCTATGTGTAAACATGTAGCCGATTGTAGAATGATATTTTGACAGCTCTAATAAATTCACCCAGCTGATTCTTCAGCAGTTCAGTCCTTCATACCTGTGAATCCATCTCATGCAGTCTGTACTCCAGAGCTCTCTCTACATATTCAGTCCTGTTGGCAAAGGTTAGGGATATGTTTTGACCTCCAGGAACCACAGGTACCAGCCTTCCATCAGCACTGTGTGCCACGAAGGAGTCCAGTGGGATCATCTATAGACAGGAGATATGGCAGGAGGGATAGACAGATAATATAGAAAAACAAAGAGAGGGGTTGGGAAGTAGAGAATGAAATGCTAGTTAAATATCTTTCAGCTTGGAAAGTTGAAGATCCGGAGAAATATTATATATGAACTCTGCAACAAGCCAATTTGTATCGTATCTCACCACATGAAAATTATCGTCTGTGATTCCACTGTTTTCTAGATGAAGGATGCCTTGGAGGGTGCGGTAGGTGAGCAGGTCTACTTCCTCAAGGTCAGGCCCTCCCAGTGGCATCGAGCAGAGCTGTTTCCACACCCAAGGAGCCAGATGCAAGTCCAGAGGCTTCTTGGTGCGAATCGCCACAGCCATAAGGATGCCCAGGAAGCGAAACTGGACCATGTGATCCTCTGAGAGCGCTGCTGGGTTCAACAGGAACCTATAAGGATATACAGCCAACGCCAGAGGTCAAGGTCATTTCTGAAAATTTGATATTCTGTTATACTTTAAGGGTATTGTTAAGGTTGATGGTTATTAAAAGAAGACTATACACCTGTCAGTGTTACTGCCCACATCTGCAAAGCTGTTGGGAGTATGAATCAGAAGATCCACCACACCAGACTGCAGCTCCTGGTGAAAACACATCGTCAGTTTGACAATTTACATCAAGCAGAATATTCACGCTGCATTATTAGTCATCTCTGTTCCTCTTAGACCCACTGTGTGATTTTCTATCCTACCTGGCACATCTCAGTGATGGTGTCATCAAACACTCCTCCGGCGTCGTCGGCTCCCTCTCCAACAAGCTTGACCTTCCAGGCTCGCGATGGCAGCCGAAGCTCCAGAGGATTCAAGCTCACCACCTGCTTTGCTATCTGCACGAAGATGGGCTTGCTCGAACGCCCTCTGTGAGCATGTAAGAGAGGGGACATTAGTCATCAATCATCTGATGGACACATGCTAACAGATATAAAACATGGCTGCAATGAAATGGTTCTTTAAAGAAAACTTACAAGCAAAACGACCAAGGTGGCAGATAAAGCTCCTGAATTTATGCTACTAAGTGCTGCTGGCCAGTTGGAAATACAGCAAGTTGTTTTGTCCACCTCCTGTTTTTCTACCAGCTGACCCCTGAAGACATACACATCCTGCCAAATGACTGAATATCATGGGCACCCTCACCTTGTGGAAATCCGTTTCACAGTGATCTGTGGCCCATATGTTTTGCCCTGGGTCATTGTTCTGCCAATGGAGCGCACTAGAGGCAGGGTGTTGACCTTGGGTGATAGAAGGCCTCTGAGCTCGCCCCGGATGATAGCTGTTGTCCCTGAACTATAGCGTGAGGTGGACACCTGAATGGAGGGAAAGACGGGAAATAAAGGAGAAGGTTAGTGAAGCAACACACTGACAGAATGATAGTGAGGCAGAGAAAGGACTGACAAGCAGGAAGTACGTGATTACCAGCAATAATTCAATAAGTTTATTGAAAACACTTGTTCTTTTAATGGATTAAAAGGGCAGAAAATAGGATAAATACCCGATTCTTGGTGTCCAGGTTGAGCAGCCTCCAAGACTTGTACATGAGATCAGAAAAGTGGTAGAGGACCCTAAGCCGCATGCTAAGGACATCAGGGCTGCAGTCTTTTAAGGTGTTGTATTGGGGAGGAACTGACTGGGGAAGGCCAAGCTGGATATTTCCAGAGCCACCTGGAGATGAAGGTAACAAATGGAGTTCCATATGTATCCTTTTTTATGGCTCATAGATGCAAAGAGTATTTGCTCGTGAACAGTTACTGTAGGACTGTGTGTGTACCTGAGTTTTTCATCGAGGTAGAGGGGGTGGTCCATGCTGAACTGTGGCAGCGGCCAGCAGAGATCTGTCTAATGTTTTTCCCCTGAAGGGCTGTTACGAGTGTGGGCTCCTTCACTGGATTCGAGTGTCCAAGACCAAGCTGGAACACAAACATAAAGGACCACAGTACAGTCTATGCAGTGCTTCTGATGTGCAGTGAAAACAAACTTCAAAGTGCATAATTTAATATTTGAACATTTGGTTACCTGTCCCTCACTGTTGCAGCCCCAGGCATAGACGTCTCCAGTGGAGGACAGGGTGAGGACATGTTCACAGCCCACAGCGATGTCCTCAATGAACAGCCCCTCCAGGGACGGCACCACCTGGGGGCAGGATTTATTCTTGAGCATGGAGTCCGGCAGGCCGATCAGACGCTCTGAAGAATGAACAGAAGGAAACCAAGTAATGGCATATGTGAGTGTACTCTCAAAACACACTAACAAAATTGTATATTTTTCTGTATGCAGCTGTAAATTGTAGCAACTAAGCTGGTGAATTGATTTACAATTTTTTATAAATATATTTTTTCGATAGTACAGAGAGAGACTGGGGGGGGTGACATGCAGCAAAGGGCCGTGGGTCAGATTCAAACCCATGTCCGCTGCATCTAGGATTAAGTCCATGTGGTTACGCGTTCTACCAGGTGAGCCACCAAGGCACCCCCTTGATTTATAAAAATTTCGAAGAGAATATTCCCACCATGTCAAGCACTGAGACTTTTTTATCAACACGAACACCCTTGTTAAGAAGCAGAAATTTTGAACATCATGACACACGGCCCAAAGACCGAAGAAGCAAATTAGTTTTTAATTTCTGAAATACCCAATGTGTCAAATTTGTATGTGTAATGGAGGCCAATATAATTGCTACAAGCTATTTTACATACTTTTACATGTATATGCAAATTAAATGAATCCTTAATGAGTTTTTTTTTTTTTTTTTTTTTTGAAGGGCCGATTTAATTAGATTTTTCAATGAAATACTTTGGGAGTTGAAAAAAGTTAAATTTCTGCCACATAAAACACAATTATATAACATTGAGGATGTTAAAAAGTAAATGAAGACACAGTCTAGAGAAGTACATCAACAATAGTGTTACTACAATCGCAAACATATTTAAAATCCAGTTTCATGTGGAAATGTACCTTGTCCAAATGTGTAAACATGTCCATCACAGGCCAACGCCACAGAGAACTGAGTTCCACAACTGACTTTCTTAATTCCCTTGTTGCACAGCTGTTCCACTTTCTGAAAATAAGAACAACCAAAAATAATATTTCATCTACTGTACACTACATAGGCACCTGTAAATTCATGAGGGAAAAGCACTCAATCAAAATAAACTAATAAACAGTTTAACTGAGGCCATGATTAGCCTGTCTCTGGTATTCCTCACCGCTTTCTCCAGGAAATCAACCAGATGACATAAACAATCTGTGTTTTGTCTTTTGTGGATGTCTAGGAGTCTTTGTCACGATTACCTTACCTGGGGGTAGTACTTGGCTGTAGAGGAACCAGTTCCTAATTTGCCATAATCCCCATCTCCAAATGCCCATACAACCATCCCATCAAGGGACAGTACCAGAGTGTGGTTGAGACCACATGACACCTGCGAAAGTTGACCAGGTTAGCTTTGTTTGCTTATAATCGGATCATTATTTGTTCACTATCACCATCTGAGTTCAAGAATGAAAACAGACATTGTCTATTCTTTACCTGCCCCACATGATATCCCTCTAATGCTGCCACCCGTTCAGGCAGCATCTTGTTGGATGTTGACCTTTGACCCAGACGGCCAGATTCACCACTGCCGAAGGTGAACAGTTTCCCATCTGCTGTTACCACGGCAGAGTGCCGGAAACCACAAGCAAGCTGGTGAGAGAAAGAAAAGCAGTATGAAAGTTTCAGAAAACTGGCTTCTTCAACATGTTGCTTGCAATACTAGTTAATTATTTTACTACTAATAACTTTCTTGATGCTTCCAAGAATACAGCATAAAATTACTAAAATATCACATAGAAGTTCAGAGCAGACTTCATCACTACCTGAACGACCTCTTCTCCTTGCAAGGCCTCTATCTGTTTGGGTCTCCTCTGCCTTTCGCTGTTGCCGTGCCCCAGTTTTCCGAAATCTCCGTCTCCCCAACTGAACACCTCCCCAGTCTCAGTCAGGGCCATTGAGTGTCCATCGGATCCACAAGACGTCACCAGCTGAGTCACCACATACCCTGTCCACAAATCAGAAAGTTAGTAAAGCTCAGCTTGTAGAGACAAGTATTAAGAGAACATTAATTAACAACTGAGCCTCAATAGAAGCTATCAAATTAAACTGCAACACTACAGTCAAAACATCTCGTCCTTTCGGTTGTAGATAAAGCTAAATGCAGACCAGCTCAGACTTGGGTTCTTTGACCCTCGACGAGTAATTTACCTTGAAAAGCAAAGATAATGGTGGGTACATAGAGATCATCAGAATTCCCCTGGCCCAGTCTGCCATATTGTCCTTCACCTACAGCCAATACAGTCCCATTGGACTGGAGCAGGAAGGTACAGTTCTGACCACACACAACCTGATGACAATGAAAACATCCAGAAAAGGAGAAATAAATGTTAGAAAAACCGCAGCAACGTAGGAAAAAGTCTGTATCCTGAGAGGAAAAGCTGCTACCTGTTGTGTCTGTGATAGAGAGGGTGCAAGAGTAGGCATCATGAGGTTAGTTCCCATCCCTGCCAACTGTCCGTAACGTCCATTCCCCCACAGATATACCTCACTCTTCCCCCCTTGTTGCCAGTCCTAAGAAACACAGCAGGTGAAATGAAAATTGCAAAATATTATAACAATGGCAATTGTATTGTGCTATGTTTACAGATGGCTAAGCTGTTACCTCTGGTCTGCTGGTTGCCCAAGACATCAGCTGTTCATCCATCCTGAAGCTCCACTTGCTATTGTCCTAGAAGACAGAGAAGTGTCTCAATAGATGAATTCAGATTCCTGAAACATATCCAGCCATTCCCTAAACCAACAATAGCACTAAGAGGATTGTCACTACTCACCAGTGCCTTTATAATTTCAGTGTCTTCCACCTCCTGAAACTCTGAAACGATGAAGGATTCTGGGAAGGCAGTACCGCTGGCAATAGCCTCAGCGCTGCGGACGGTAGTGGCGTATGTGGCGAGCCAGCTCCAATCTGACGGGCAGGTGTGGGCATCAGGACTCGCGTGGTGTGGAGGGCGTGGGAAGCGGCACAGGTGTTTCTCTAAGGACAAACCAACAGTCAAGGAGGCCAGGCTCTGTAGGAAGGCACTGTGGACCAGCTGGTCACCTGCTGCAACGTGGGTCTGTATTGACAAAAGGCAGTCAAAATAAAGTCCCAGCTCAAGCTCACATGGACACAAACATAAATGAGTAGCGAAATGTTTCAGTTGTTGCTGATAGGGATATGAAAACAGAAAATTAACAGAAGAGACAAAACATGAACACCTGCATACATAGGAAGAGGTAAGAAGTCGCCAGAAATGACAGTCAAATTAAACTAATTTGAAACTAATTTAAAATGTAGTTTCATTAATGACCCGCTCATGGTTGTACTGCTCCTGCAACAGCAAGGGCAGCCTCTCCAGGAAGACGGCCAAACAAGGCGCCCGATTTAAACCAAGGATGTTCTGGCTTCTGAGAACCATACGACAGGAAGAGAGCACATGATTTTGAGTGATCCAGTCGGGGGTGCAGCAGATCAACAAAACGTCCTGGGAAAGAAAAAATTACAGAACACCACTGTAACAGAGGCAAAAGAAAATGTTGCATTTGCAAAGAATTGGGCACTTTTTTACATGCTTTCTAGTTATGTAGTAATGAACTAATGAGTATAAGCCGAAGATATAGAAACAAAACTTAAGTATAGAGTAGTTTGTCTTCTAGCTGTATTGTGTTCATATTAATGGACAGATATGATAATGTTATCAATCTTCTCATCTAACTCTCAGTAATTTAACAAAAATATGCTGAAATATTCCTTCAAGGTTTGACAGAAATTCAAGTTATGAGTGATCCAAATTACCTTCGACCTCCCAAAGCAAGCAGCTACACCCAAGTTTGGTATCCAGGTAGTACTGACGACTGAACCCAAACCTGTAACAGTCTGTAAGACTGAACCATCCTGCAAGAAGCACAGAGAAGAGGGGGATTCAAATTCTGAGGCCAGACTTCTGAAACATTTATTTTAGAGTAAAACACAACAATAGTTTAATTGTCTGCTGATGTTGATCGTCATATAAGTGGCAGAAGCAGTAAATATTGTTTTCTGACCTGCAAGGACCAGATGTTAAGCAGTCCCCCTATCCCTCCAGAAACCAGAGTCAGTCCACTGGAGCAAAATGAAAGGGATTTCACTGCCGTAATGTGGCCGTGAAGTACAAACACACACTTTGCACTGTCCTGCTGTAAAAAACAACAGAAACAGGTGATTTCATTAAACAGCTAAAATCAAACTGAGGATAACTGGTGCATAAAATCCTGATAACAGTTTAATCTTTTCAAGATATGAGTAGAACCAGGTCTGGAAAAGGACCTCCAACAGCAGAGCCAAACTGACCTTGACATCATTGTTTTTATCTTGGCTTGGGGAGTTGTTCAGTATCTTGGGCAAAGACACAACAGTACCCCCCTGTGGCAGTGTCCAGACATACACAGAGCCATTCTGGCAACCGCTACAGAAACAGGGAGATTTTTAAAAAAAAAGAAGATTATCTACAAGGCTGTAGGTTTGGTCTCAACATTGGTAGGGACGCAACAATCCTGCCACCCCCTACAAAACAGAGATTGGCTTTTTAATACAGTCAACCAAACGGTTTATTAACATATAAGATCTTAGTTTACATTCAGCAATGCTCATATGCAAATGTAATATATGTACATGTGTTGAATTTCCATATATGAAATATTTGTAAATATGAAATCAATTCATGTGTATTTAAGTACAGCCTATACATGTAAAAATTATGAATGAAACATGTTAGAAATTGCATAACATTATGGCATGAAATTGTCAAAAAAGGTCATAGTATAGTACAGCATAAAACGTCGAAAAAAGTCATAGTATAGTACGGCATAAAACGTCATAGTATATTATGGCATAAAATTGTCAAGAAACATCATAGTATAGTACAGCATAAAATGTCATAGTATAGTAAGGCATAAAACGTCAAAAAACATCATCGTATATTATGGCATAAAATTGTCAAAAAACGTCATAGTATAGTAAGGCATAAAACGTAATAGTATATTATGGCATAAAATGTCATAGTATAGTATGGCATAAAACGTCAAAAAACGTCATAGTATAGTACAGCATAAAATGTCATAGTATATAGTAAGGCATAAAATGTCAAAAAACGTCATCGTATATTATGGCATAAAATTGTCAAAAAACGTCATAGTACAGCATAAAATGTCATAGTATAGTAAGGCATAAAACGTCAAAAAACGTCATCGTATATTATGGCATAAAATTGTCAAAAAACGTCATAGTATAATAAGGCATAAAACGTCAAAAAACGTCATAGTATATTACAGCATAAAATGTCATAGTATAGTAAGGCATAAAACGTCATCGTATATTATGGCATAAAATTGTCAAAAAACGTCATAGTATAGTACAGCATAAAATGTCATAGTATAGTAAGGCATAAAACGTCAAAAAAGGTCATCGTATATTATGGCATAAAATTGTCAAAAAACGTCATAGTATAATAAGGCATAAAACGTCATAGTATATTATGGCATAAAATTGTCAAAAAACGTCATAGTATATTACAGCATAAAATGTCATAGTATAGTAAGGCATAAAACGTCAAAAAACGTCATAGTATATTACAGCATAAAACGTCATAGTATAGTATGGCATAAAACGTCATAGTATAGTAAGGCATAAAACGTCAAAAAACGTCATAGTATAGTATGGCATAAAACTTCAAAAAACGTCATAGTATAGTACAGCAAAAAATGTCATAGTATAGTAAGGCATAAAACGTCAAAAAACGTCATAGTATATTATGGCATAAAATTGTCAAAAAACGTCATAGTATAGTAAGGCATAAAACGTCAAAAAACGTCATCGTATATTATGGCATAAAATTGTCAAAAAACGTCATAGTATAGTAAGGCATAAAACGTCAAAAAACGTCATCGTATATTATGGCATAAAATTGTCAAAAAACGTCATAGTATAGTATGGCATAAAACGTCAAAAAACGTCATAGTATATTATGGCATAAAATTGTCAAAAAACGTCATAGTATAGTACAGCATAAAATGTCATAGTATAGTAAGGCATAAAACGTCAAAAAACGTCATCGTATATTATGGCATAAAATTGTCAAAAAACGTCATAGTATAGTATGGCATAAAACGTCAAAAAACGTCATAGTATATTATGGCATAAAATTGTCAAAAAACGTCATAGTATAGTACAGCATAAAATGTCATAGTATAGTAAGGCATAAAACGTCAAAAAACGTCATCGTATATTATGGCATAAAATTGTCAAAAAACGTCATAGTATAGTATGGCATAAAACGTCAAAAAACGTCATAGTATATTATGGCATAAAATTGTCAAAAAACGTCATAGTATAGTACAGCATAAAATGTCATAGTATAGTAAGGCATAAAACGTCAAAAAACGTCATCGTATATTATGGCATAAAATTGTCAAAAAACGTCATAGTATAGTATGGCATAAAACGTCAAAAAACGTCATAGTATATTATGGCATAAAATTGTCAAAAAACGTCATAGTATAGTACAGCATAAAATGTCATAGTATAGTAAGGCATAAAACGTCAAAAAACGTCATCGTATATTATGGCATAAAATTGTCAAAAAACGTCATAGTATAGTATGGCATAAAACGTCAAAAAACGTCATAGTATATTATGGCATAAAATTGTCAAAAAACGTCATAGTATAGTACAGCATAAAATGTCATAGTATAGTAAGGCATAAAACGTCAAAAAACGTCATCGTATATTATGGCATAAAATTGTCAAAAAACGTCATAGTATAGTATGGCATAAAACGTCAAAAAACGTCATAGTATATTATGGCATAAAATTGTCAAAAAACGTCATAGTATAGTACAGCATAAAATGTCATAGTATAGTAAGGCATAAAACGTCAAAAAACGTCATCGTATATTATGGCATAAAATTGTCAAAAAACGTCATAGTATAGTATGGCATAAAACGTCAAAAAACGTCATAGTATATTATGGCATAAAATTGTCAAAAAACGTCATAGTATAGTACAGCATAAAATGTCATAGTATAGTAAGGCATAAAACGTCAAAAAACGTCATCGTATATTATGGCATAAAATTGTCAAAAAACGTCATAGTATAGTATGGCATAAAACGTCAAAAAACGTCATAGTATATTATGGCATAAAATTGTCAAAAAACGTCATAGTATAGTACAGCATAAAATGTCATAGTATAGTAAGGCATAAAACGTCAAAAAACGTCATCGTATATTATGGCATAAAATTGTCAAAAAACGTCATAGTATAGTATGGCATAAAACGTCAAAAAACGTCATAGTATATTATGGCATAAAATTGTCAAAAAACGTCATAGTATAGTACAGCATAAAATGTCATAGTATAGTAAGGCATAAAACGTCAAAAAACGTCATCGTATATTATGGCATAAAATTGTCAAAAAACGTCATAGTATAGTATGGCATAAAACGTCAAAAAACGTCATAGTATATTATGGCATAAAATTGTCAAAAAACGTCATAGTATAGTACAGCATAAAATGTCATAGTATAGTAAGGCATAAAACGTCAAAAAACGTCATCGTATATTATGGCATAAAATTGTCAAAAAACGTCATAGTATAGTATGGCATAAAACGTCAAAAAACGTCATAGTATATTATGACGTAAAATTGTCAAAAAACGTCATAGTATAGTAAGGCTTAAAATTGTGATAAAACGTCATAGTCTAGTAAGGCATAAAACATCAAAAAATGTCATAGTATATTATGGCATAAAATTGTCAAAAAAAGTCATAGTTTAGTATGGATTAAAACGTCAAAAAACAACATAGTATAGTATGACATAAAATTGTCAAAAAACGTCATCATAGTATAAGTATGGCATAAAAACATTAAAATTATCATATTATAGTAAGGCAAAAAACGTTTGTGTGTCTACAGATTTATGTAGTGTTTCAGTGATCTCCCTGGTGTTTTAAAATTTACTAACTCTTTGTTCTCCTGTGCTGAAGACGACTTCCTGGATTGCCAGGACCCATTCCCCTTCTACATTCACCATAACTATTGTCTTTTCCCAAATAAACTTTCTTGCACTGTTATTGCTGGTGTGTTTTGTGTCCTGTCATGCTCTGGGGTCATACATCAGTTCTGATGAAAACATAACAGTTAGGCATAAAAAATTATATTGCAGTAAGGTATAAAAAAGTAATTATAGTAAGTGTGGCATACAAACATCATAGTATAGTACAGCATAAAATGTCATAGTATAGTAAGGCATAAAACGTCAAAAAACGTGATCGTATATTATGGCATAAAATTGTCAAAAAACGTCGTAGTATAGTACAGCATAAAAGGTCATAGTATAGTAAGGCATAAAACGTCAAAAAATGTCATCGTATATTATGGCATAAAATTGTCCAAAAACGTCATAGTATAGTATGGCATAAAACGTCAAAAAACGTCATAGTATATTATGGCATAAAATTGTCAAAAAACGTCATAGTATAGTACAGCATAAAATGTCATAGTATAGTATGGCATAAAACGTCAAAAAACGTCATCGTATATTATGGCATAAAATTGTCAAAAAACGTCATAGAATAGTATGGCATAAAACGTCAAAAAACGTCGTAGTATATTATGGCATAAAATTGTCAAAAAACATCATAGTATAGTATGGCATAAAACGTCAGAAAACGTCATAGTATATTATGGCATAAAATTGTCAAAAAACGTCATAGTATAGTACAGCATAAAATGTCATAGTATAGTAAGGCATAAAACGTCAAAAAACGTCATAGTATATTATGGCATAAAATTGTCAAAAAACGTCATAGTATAGTACAGCATAAAATGTCATAGTATAGTAAGGCATAAAACGTCAAAAAACGTCATAGTATATTATGGCATAAAATTGTCAAAAAACGTCATAGTATAGTACAGCATAAAATGTCATAGTATAGTAAGGCATAAAACGTCAAAAAACGTCATCGTATATTATGGCATAAAATTGTCAAAAAACGTCATAGTATAGTATGGCATAAAACGTCAAAAAACGTCATAGTATATTATGGCATAAAATTGTCAAAAAACGTCATAGTATAGTACAGCATAAAATGTCATAGTATAGTAAGGCATAAAACGTCAAAAAACGTCATCGTATATTATGGCATAAAATTGTCAAAAAACGTCATAGTATAGTATGGCATAAAACGTCAAAAAACGTCATAGTATATTATGGCATAAAATTGTCAAAAAACGTCATAGTATAGTACAGCATAAAATGTCATAGTATAGTAAGGCATAAAACGTCAAAAAACGTCATCGTATATTATGGCATAAAATTGTCAAAAAACGTCATAGTATAGTATGGCATAAAACGTCAAAAAACGTCATAGTATATTATGGCATAAAATTGTCAAAAAACGTCATAGTATAGTGCAGCATAAAAGGTGATAGTATAGTGAGGCAAAAAACGTCAAAAAACGTCATCGTATATTATGGCATAAAATTGTCAAAAAACGTCATAGTATAGTATGGCATAAAATGTCAAAAAAACGTCATAATATATTATGGCATAAAATTGTCAAAAAACGTCATAGTATAGTACAGCATAACAGGTGATCGTATAGTGAGGCATAAAACGTAAAAAAACGTCATCGTATATTATGGCATAAAATTGTCAAAAAACGTCATAGTATAGTATGGCATAAAACGTCAAAAAATGTCATAGTATATTATGGCATAAAATTGTCAATAAACGTCATAGTATTGTGCAACATAAAAGGTAATGGTATAGTAAGGCATAAAACGTCAAAAAACGTCATAGTATATTATGACATAAAATTGTCAAAAACGTCATAGTATAGTATGGATTAAAACGTCAAAAAACATCATAGTGTAGTATGACATAAAATTGTAAAAAACGTCATCATAGTATAAGTATGGCATAAAAACAACAAAAACCATCATATTGTAGTAAGGCAAAAAACGTTTGTGTGTCTACAGATTTATGTAGTGTTTCAGTGATCTCCCTGGTGTTTTAAAATTTACTAACTCTTTGTTCTCCTGTGCTGAAGACGACTTCCTGGATTTCCAGGACCCACTCCCCTTCTACATTCACCATCACTATTGTCGTTTCCCAAATAAACCTTCTTGCACTGTTATTGCTTGTGTGTTTTGTGTCCTGTTATGCTCTGGGGTTATACATCAGTTCTGATGAAAACATAACAGTTAGGCATAAAAAATTATATTGCAGTAAGGTATAAAAAAGTAATTATAGTAAGTGTGGCATACAAACATCATAGTATAGTACAGCATTAAACGTCATAGTATAGTAAGGCATAAAACGTCAAAAAACGTCATCATATATTATGGCATAAAATTGTCAAAAAACGTGATAGTATGGTAAGGCATAAAAACGTCATAGTATAGTAAGGCAAAAAACTTCATAAAATGACATATTATAATAAGGCAAAACATTTGAACAAACCTCATAGTATAGTATGGATTAAAACGTCATAGTTTGGTATGGCATAAAATTGTCAAAAAACGTCATAGTATACTATGGCATAAAACATCAGAAAACGTCATAGTATGGCATAAAATTGTCAAAAAACGTAGTATAGTAAGGCATAAAATTTTTAAAGAAACGTCATAGTATACTATGGCATAAAATGTCAGAAAACGTCATAGTATGGCATAAAATTGTCAAAAAAGTCATAGTCCAGTATGGCATAAAACGTAGTATAGTAAGGCATAAAATTGTCAAAAACGTCATAGTACAGTAAGACACAAAACGTGATAGTATGGTAAGGCATAAAAATGTCAAAGAACGACATAGTATAGTATGGCATAAAACGTCATAGTATAGTAAGGCATAAAATTGTATGGCATAAAATTGTCTAAAAAAGTCATAGCATAGTATGGCATAAAATTGTTAAAAGACGACATAGTATAGTAAGGAAAAAAATATGAACAAACCTCATAGTATAGTATGGATTAAAACGTCATAGTATAGTATGGCATAAAATGTCAGAAAACGTCATAGTATAGTATGGCTTAAAATTGTCATAAAACCTCATAGTATACTATGGCATAAAACGTCAAAAAAAGTGATAGTATAAAAAGGTAAAAAGCATCACAGTATAATAAGGTAAAAAAAACTGTCAATAAACGTATAGTTAGGTATAAAAAGCATAAAAACGACATAATATAGTAAGGCATGAAAAGTCATAAAAACGACAATATAGTTAGGCATGAAAAGTCATAAAAACAACATAGTATAGTAAAGCATAATAAGTCATATAAACGTCATAATATAGTAAGGCATAAAAACATCATAGTACAGTAAGGCATAAAAAGTCAAAAAAAGGTCATAGTATAGTAAGGCATACAATCGCCATAGTATAGTGAGGGATAATTCTGTCCTTCCAAAATATTGGTGGGGACATGTCCCTACTGTCCATATGCAAACCTACACCCTTGATCTACAATATGAACAAATGGAAAAACATGCAACTATTATTAGATATTGTTAGATTTTCATGAATTCTTTTTATATCTTTCTCTAAAACTGTTACAATTTTGTTAAATTATTGGTTATCTAGAAACAAAAGAGTCAGAGAAAGAATGAAGAATGAGTTATTTAAACTCACGCAGCCATCATGAGCTTGGGATCAGGTGCTCTGCCAGCAAGGGGGCACCATTCAGCAATGTTAACCGTGCTGGTGTGAATGAGGGAGTGCAGGGTCACCCAGGTGCCACCAGAGCGTCCCAGTATCTTTGTTACCTCTGACCTGCTCAAGCAGAGCAGCAGGTGTCCTGTGGGATCCCATTTTAGAGAACTCACACTGTCCTGTAGAGTGAAGAGAAGGAGAGTGAACAGTAAAAATGATTTCCTGTATATTCTGTGTCACAGTGTAGACAACAGTGTCACATAGTTGGGTTTGAGGCACATGCAGTTCTTTGTCTCTTATGCAGGGCTCTTCAGCATACTACAATCAAAATGAGTATGGAGGAAACTTTGCAGACAAACCTGGAAGACAGACAGCACTACAGGCTGCTCATTCTCATAGGTCTCAGTTGTGGCCAAAAGGATCTTTCCAGTGGGATAGCCCACTGCAAAAGGCTTGTCCTCACTGTGCCAGGCGACACACTGGGGGGCTAGAAGGAATCATGGGAGAAGATCAGTCTTTTAAAAGAATAAGTTGATATTTTTGAGATATGAATGTTGCATTCTTGCCTAGAGTTAGATGAGAAGATTGATGCCACTGTTGGGTTTATACGAAGGTAGAGCCAGGAGTTGATTACCTTAGCTCAGTTTAGCTAATCTTAAATGAATGTAGCATAAAGACTGGATGCAAGGAGTTTTTACATTTTGTTATACTTGTGTATAGATAAAACAAACAAGACAAGTTAATTAATTCTTGCTTTTGGACAGAGCCAGGCCGGCTGTTTCCACCTCTTTTCAGACTTTATGCTAAACTAAGCTAAGCAGCTGCTGACTCTAGTTTCGTATTTACCATACAGGCATGAAAGTGGCATCAATCTTCTCATCTAACTCCCAGTAAGAATGAAAATAGGTGCGTTTTCCAAAAGGCTGAATTAGGCCTTTAAGTCTAAAACATGTACTCAATTTCAAAAATAGTATGAGTGGAGATGTGTCCATTCAAACACATCAGCTAAGAGGAATTATCAACAATAGAAATTTAAAGAGAAATATGTAGTAAGTTAAACAATTAATTTTAAATGTTTTCAGTATGTCACTGAATGTAATGTCTCTCTTTATAATTACATTAAAATCTGAGTGTGATGTGTGATTTCATTTTCATGAAAAACATTTTATTCTGTTAGGATCTGTCAGTAACAGTGTGTAGCAGCCACCTCACCCTCTTTCCTGTGGCAGTGGGTGAGTTCAGTGCTCTTCACATTTAACTCCATTTCCTGCATTGTGACCTGCAGCCAGCAGAGGGAGCCATCCAGCCGACCCACCAACAGGCTCTCAGCAGCTCTATTCTTACAGGCTGGCGGCTGGTCAAGGACCCACAAGCTGAAGGTGTGAGCCCAGCAGAGGGCTGTGACCCGAGACACCTGAGCCTCCACATGACAGTGAGATCCTGTAAAGTGACAGAACAATTCAAATTTTAGAGACTACTGATCTGATTATTAGACATCTTACAGCTGTTTAAAGTCCCCCTCTACTCAAAAATGTGTTTTGCTGCAGAATGATGTAGGTGCAGAGTTTGACACTTTTCATATTCATCTGCTGGAGGGGGAAGTTCCTCTGTGATCACTTTAAATCTTTTTAAGATTTAGGCATGTAACTATAAGGGTGATTTTATAAAAATGTGAAAAAACAATACCAGGCAAATTATTGTTCGAAGCAGAGTATTTTTATGTGTCCTATTACATGTCGGGAGGTGGTCTTTCTTAACAAGACAAGTAATAAAATTTGAGACTAGTAAAAAAAAAAAAAAACACAAATGCACTTACCCCTGATGTTCATGATGTTGATGTGTTTGTTCTCAGGGGCAGCCAAGAAGTTTCCCCCTGGACTCCAGTATACAGGAGACATGTGATGACATCTACCTGCCCTCTCACTGTTTGATCTGTCCGCCTTACTGGAGAGAGTCAAAGGGAGGAAAATCTGATTTCACCATCCAATCCTTTAATAGCAATCCCTTTGAGATTTTCAGAATTCTCTAGGTATCACACAGGAACCATTAATTTTTCATAATATATTTTAATTAAGGCTAAAATGTACATCTTTCTGTGCAAGTATACTAGTCTTTCTAAATTATGAATATAGATATTTACCTATAAAAAAAATGAAGGTTTGAGAAGTTAGATAACCAGATATCTTTTAAAAATTTAGCATCAAAACAATAACAAAATAATCAATACTGGATAGAGTAGACACTACCTCGTAATGCAGGAAAAAGTGGTCTGTAATTCCACTGAGTTCTGGTTGATGCTCCATAGTTGCACCACTTTGTCCTGAGAACATGTAGCCAGCAAGCTCTGCTCACTGCTCCAGGAACAGCTAGCCACCTGAAATGAACAGAAATAATGTAAAGATACTTATACTACATTTGACACGATTGGTGGGGAAATTTCATACCTGTACCGCTGAAATAGATGCTTTATAGACCACTTACTGCTGTGCACAGTCGTGTTTGATGTGTGATTGATTATGATGATGATTAAGATGATTATTATAATGATGATTAATATTCTCACATTTTGTTTACATAGATAATGGAAAGCCATGGCTTTATTTTCTGAACACATATCATCCTGTTATCAAAACACAGGAGAATAATGTTTGTGCTATGAAAAACGTAAACAGAAACAATACATGTAGCTGTGACCAAGCATTGTTACAATGCAGATTGTTCAAATAAATTGTACTGAATTGACTGAGTACTAATCCTATAAATCCCGTACCTTGTTGTAATGTCCTTCCAGCCTCTTGAGAGGACATTTGCGTAAGTCACCAGCCAGGTCGCTGTATGTCTGGGGACGATTAGGACTGTCTCTTCCTGTTGCGGCCAAGGCCTGCACCAGCTGCTGTGCTGCCCACTGGCGGTGTTTACTGGTCAGCCTGGCAGACAGGACACATGCTGCCAACGCATTAGCCAGCTCCAGAGGGCCCACTCTGGCATTCAAGTGGGGTAGAGGGGAGGGAGGCAAGGACGAAGAAGACACCCCGTGGTTTCCTGCATCTACATTAAACAGACACATAGGATTTCAAACACTGTAATAAATAATTACACATAACAACACAACCACTCTCTCTCACCATTAGTCTCGTGTTCGGCCCTGTCTGGGCTGTAACAGTGAACACCCTTTTCCGTCAGCAGGGTGACCAGACTTTGCGTGACCAGGAATGTTGGGGGCGTCTGGTCATTGCAGTCCCTCTGCTGCTGGGCTCCCTGGGCTGCAGCTGTTAGACTGGAGCTCAGGCAACCTCTCTGCTGTGGGTCACTGATGGCCCCGATGTTCTCCCCTGTAGCTGCTGCCATTAGGTCCTACAGGCAGCAATATTAAGAGGATATTCACATTTTAGAATTTACATTCTTTTGCCAGCATTTATACAGTATATGTTCACACTGAAATTATCACTTAATGCTTAGATAATTTCTTATTTCAATGGATCATAATATCATTTATAATTTTCTATGCTTTTGCCACATTTGTTCCTTTAATTTCATCTGAAAAAAAAGCTCTTTATTTTAATCTTAATTACTGTATTTTTGTATATTTATTGTGCTGTACATGTGTTGGTTTTAAGTCATTCTTGAAGCTCATTGTAATGAATCTTTTAGCAGCCTAAATTTGCTTTCATCACAGTTTTCAATGAATACTTGGCCTTATTCCTATATAAATAAATAAAGCATAAAACAACCAATTATATCGAGTCAGATGTCCAAACAGCCAATCGGCCTAAATTCCAGTCCAGACATCCACAGTCTAACTGATCACACTGTAATTAATTCAGACAAATATGGAAAAAGTACAAGAGAGAAAATGTAATTAACTGATGTATTAAAAAATATGTACATTTATTATTATCAAAAGGCATTTGTGACACTGTAATATAGAGCTGATATAGTGATATAATGTGATGTAAAACTTAGATCTTTTTGCCCAAAGATGATAATTAGCTTATACAGTTTTTATAAATAGTGGATTGACCAAAGAAAACTGACCTGAGTGCATATCTCCACTAGCTGTCTGTAAGCAGTAGAGCTATGGGAAACCACGCTGCCGATGGCTGAGGTAAGGAAGCTGAGGCAGGTGGAGTTGTTGCGTTCGGTTGCCTGCCCCTTTGCACCTGACTGTCTGTCCACACAGTTGTGAGCCCTGCCCCCTGCTGCTAGAGTCATCAAACGCACCAAGATGCGGATATCTGCCAGACCCAAGGACTCTAATCCATTGGACTGGCTGCACACTGATGCACTGGAGAGGAAGATAAAATAGGAATCCTGAAACCGCAGTGAATTGGTGAAAAAAATGTATCAACAAGGGTATATTTTGGTCAGATGTAATGTACCTAGAGGCAGTTTGAGACAGTGCTCTCATCACCATGCTGTAGGCTAGCAGAATCTGTGCGGTGGAGGTGACTCTTCTTAAAGCTTTCAGTCTGTCATGAGAGTCCCTCAGTGATATTGCCTGCTGTCCAAGGCTCAAAGAGGTCTTCTGCTCAACAAGGGCATTCCCTGGTGAGGACAAAAAAAAACACATCAAAGAGGATTCTGTTAGTTATAGGACAAAGCACTGATACATCTTGCTAAACTCATATTAAATTACTCTGACAGTACATGGTATGCTTATCCCTCTGATGTCAGCATGCAAAAAAAAAAAAAAAAGAACAACCATGCTGGTTCACTGGGAATATGTGTGCCTCAGATGTGCAGCTATGATAAATGAGTAATGAGGCACTATGCTGCAGTAAGTCTGACTGTGGATGGAGTGTGGATGCTGCCAACAAGCACACAGGGAATGTGGGTGTGTGTTACAAAAAAGTGGGCTAAATCTTTCACCAGAGATAAAGTGAAAGAAACATCCAATAGGAACAAGATGACAATTAACCACTGAGTGAATGCAACCTACTGTTCTGTTTGTATATGACCTGCTATTTAATATTCAGAGGTGTGTGGATACTGGAATTTTTATTATAGTCATGGGTGATTGGTTTGGTGTCACACTGTCCTACAGTCATGAAAGAGCTGCAGAAAAAGTGAATGGAAAATCAAATGAGACCTCTGCCCTTTACCTAGGATTCTTCCACTCTTTAATGTGCAAGTTTGCATGCAACTGCTTTTTTCCAGTTCCATCATACAGTATGGGCAAAGGCATCATATTTATCTGTCACCACTGAACTCATTGATGCTGAACCACAACTATAGTAGCTACTATAATAAACACCCAGTACCTTTGGGAGCTGCTGCGCTTGTTGGGTCAGCAGAGCTGTAAACCCGGGCTCCGAGTGGATCTGGCTCAGTAAAGGCTATGGGGTCTGGTACCAGCTTCTTTTCCGTCAGCCCCAGCGGTCTCAGCAAGAGCCCAAAGTCCTCCAGGCCCGTCAGCTTGTCTGTGTCACACTCGTCTTGGTGGCTCATTTCCCAATCATCTTAGCAAACAGAAGTACCATTCATATTACAAAAAAATGCATTTAATGAGTATCAAATGACTTGTCCTACTTTAGAGTGAAAATACCCTTTCCTACCATCGGATGTGCTGTCCAACTGGCCAATCAAATCAGATGTCAGACCTTTAATCCTAAAAGCAAATGGAGGACAAAACAACGTTAAATAATAGGCTATATACTGTAACCAGTTACATGTACAAACATCAAACAGTCTAGAGGCACAGTTGCATGCATCCATTCATCATTTCCTGCATACATCATGTGACATACAGTATATCTGCTTTACCTTTCATATTTAGAACTTGTGTCGCTCAGGTTTGCAGCCAGATACTTTTCCCTGCAGGAGCTGCAGAGGAGGTAGAAGGGAAAGTTGGAGCCACACTCCCCTTTGAACCAGACATCCACGTAAGCCCCGGTGCTGTCGTAGCCCTTTCGTGCTGCACTCTGCCCGCAACCTGGGTGACGCCGCTTTATGTGATTGTTAAACTGCAGGGTAAGGGTGTTGCACAGCTCACATTTCACCATCTGACTGTGTTCTTCTCCACCCTAAAACAATGGTAATAAGATGGATGATAATATTTCTAGTACACTGACAAGAAGTGAACTGTATGCATGAATGTTTTAAACACAGTGTAGGAATAAATACAATGTACAAAATTATGTGACACTTGACACAAGTTAGTCTGTGACCTCTGTGGTTGTCGTTTTGCATTTCAAATCATAACATATATTTATTAAAATAATCAAATCTAGATTTTTGTTTTGTCCATGTTTTGTAGCTTTAGTGATAATTTGTGTGTCACCTCCACTATCTGGAGTGTGTCTCTCTCCAAACTGAAGAACGAGGGGGTGAGCAGGTCCTCATAACTTTCCTCATGGTATGGGTCATCCATGTAGCCCAACTCTGACTCCTCCTCAGCAGAGAAAGGATGAAACTCCACCTGCTCTGGCCATTCACCGACTGCTGTGTGCTGCTGGTACAGCTGTGGGAGGGGGTTGGGTGATGGCAAGTCTGAAAAGATTGTGTTTGTTTCAAATGAAAACACTCAGTAAGATGTACAGTAAGTGTGAGAATTTTGTTATCAGCCACAAAACCAACACATGATCTAACACAGCTTTGATGTGCACATTTCATTCCTGAATCAAAGCTGTTACTCTGACCTGCCCTTCGGAAGGAGGTCCTCTGAGTTGGGCCTGAGCGTCGCCGCCGAGCCGGAGGTGGTCTGTTCCTGGTCAGGTGGACATCCAAGAAGTTCTCCCTCTCTATCCAGTCCAGCCCTGGCAACAAGCTGTAAACAAAATAACATGCAGTCCGTCAGCAAACTGGTTGTACTTATGACAATATTACTGTACCAACTGCAAAATGTGAGTATGCTTCTGAAATCTCTGACCTTTCACTGGGTTGACTGGTGGAGCGCTCAGGACATTGCACTGTCTCCGGTCCATCTGGAGACGGGGTCTCAGGAGCACCCTCGGGTCTAGCCGACTCGGCTGCCTGCTGTTCCTCAGTCAGGGGGTGCTCTAGCATCCAGCTGGCCAACACCTCAATGGTCTGAGAGTCCAAGTCACCTGCTACATCTGGGAGGGACCACAGGGAAGTTGAACTGTCAGAGTTCAAAAAAAAAGGATGGATCATGGAGTGCTGCATTGCTACTTCATGTCGGACATCACCACCAGATGATCACGCTTCTGTGTACTGTTTAAGGTCAGGCTGGTACATCTGCTCTGACAGTAAAAGTATGGGATGAGGGGTGGTGTGCAATTTGTGATATAGTACGTGATAAAAATTTGCAAAATTAGCATAATGAGGGGAATTTAAGTGATAAAAGTGTGACACTGTATATTGGTGCTATGTGTAAATGTGAAAATACACTTAGAATTGTTTACATGCTCAGAATACACATATGATCTGTGCCATACGAAAACTAAAAATTCTGAATTGGTTCAGTTTTACTGTGAGGTGACATTGTCACCTTAGGAGCTTCTGTGAGCAACATTTTAGTGAAAATAAGATTTGCATGAAATTCAAAATGACAGTGTAGTGTTGTAAGAAACTGAGTAGAAATGTTTAAAGGCTTGACAATTTTCTTTCCTTTTCTGATGAGAGGTGGGAAAATCTGATGACCATCCACCAAATTACATTTCTCCAGTAGGCAGAAGGCAGAAAATCAGGAAGACACTTGTTTTCTTTGAACAGCCTCATTATAATAATGATAATATGTATTAAATATATGGTAATAGTAATTTTGATGCATGTTATTTTTGCATTAACACTAGAAAATAACAACAGCACTGTGTTCATCCTAAAACCAATAAATCAAGTATTTTATCAAAGAAAAGGCTTTTTTTTTTCCACACACACAACACACACTTTCCTCTTTATAAATACTACAGGAAGGCTGCAGCACACAGTGAAGGACAGATGTTTAAAATAGAAAAGCACATGAAGCAAAAAAGTCTGTGGTATCAGACACACTCCACAAAGCAGTACCTGCTGCCTCCATGGCCCAGTAGATATGTCTCATAGAGAATCCCATTTCTAGCAACCGACTGGTGACAAACATTTGTGTCCGTTCTGGTGGTTGAGGAGAAAAGGAAAAGTACACAAAAAACAGAAAACAAAAACAAGCCCACAGCGACATCTTGAATATTTCATGCATGTAGACTGCTGTGGAATTTAGCAGATAAATAAAATTACCTTCACATTTAGTTTTAATTCTTATCCTTATGCTGTTTTATTAGTTTACAGACAAAACGCCATCTTCATCCTACGTACAGTACACCTTTTCAATTTAGTTTTCATGTCCTGAATGAATGATGACACCTACCAATCAACTGGCCTGTTAATCCTAATGTCTAAAATGTGAAAGTCAGAGCAATGACCTTAAGTTCAATGCACTAACCAGCAATGTTCAAAAAGAACACCAACATAACTGACAATGGAACAAATGGTGCCATTCAAGCATGTAAGTGCACAAACTGTGTCATGCATGCAGTTGATGGTTTTAATATCATATCTGTCCAATAACAGAGCAAAACACATGCTGTTTTGAGCAGCAGATAAGATAAGTGACAAATAGCTGAACATGTAAGATCATGCAAGAGACAGATTTTCTAATGAGTTATCACCGTTCTCCTGTTATGATAACACAGAAGTCTGGCTGAATTCAATTCATTTCGAAGTTACATTAATAGCATGTTTGAATATGAAGCCAGCATGGGGAAAAAGTTTGTTAAAAACCGAACTGACCTGCAATTCTGCAGCAACTAGCAATGATATTCTCTTTAAAACATTGTGATGTTTATCAGTAATTTTAAATTAGGAGATACATTTAAATTAGAGGAGTTTTTCTTTTTAATGTACTGCTGTGTATTGACAGCTTTTCCCCCATCAACGTCTCTGCGTTTGTTCTTACCCAGGCTGCTTCTGGCCTGCGTGCTGCAGGGACCTGGTTCCATGAAGCTAGTCTGCTGCTCTGTGAAGGCATCACAAGAAGCAGAGCTGGCCAGGCTGAAGCAAGGGTGCAGAACGGAGGGAGCACTAACCAGGCCGGTAAGCGTAGGGAACCGAGTTAGCACCATGTGCCTAGAAGGAGTGAAGATATAGTATATACAGTAATAACACAGAGCAAGTGGTGCTACACTACCAGTCGTCAGTCCCAAACAAACTTTTGAAATATTAAGTATCTAAAAGCAAAGTTGAGCCTCTTTTAACCTGATTTAAGATGCCTAAAAATCACAGCAAATCAAGCATGTATCCTTTTACGTCAACATTTTGCTCAAGCCTGGTAACCCAGAGAAGGTGGTAGAATATGTGCTTTGTATTGTAGGAGACTTTTGGCGAAGAGCTTGGTACTATTCTTGTCAAAATTCTCCTCCCTGGAGGGCTTAGAATGTATTTTCTGTTTTATTACATAACCCTGAAGCTGTTTGTTTGTTCGCCTCTTGAAAGCAGGAATAACACCGACACTCTGATCAGCTGGCTGGGTTAAGAGAAAAACAAGCAGGCAGAGCTGCAGCCTAGACTAAAGACAGTGCAAGCAGAATCCTCACTCTCTGTTTTCATATAGATCCTAACTCACCCATTCCCTGGACTTCAGAAAAGCTGCTGCCGCCAAAAGATACAGGTCTGTAGCAATCAGTAACATGAGAATTGACCATAACTCCAATTTCTGACAATGTACTGTACTGAGCTTTTAGTATGACTTACTCAACCAACAGGTAAATCAAATTAATATATATATTTTTTTCATATAACAAACCCATTCTATACTCACTGGAGGAGGCTGATCGGAAGGAAAGGGTTGAAATGATCAAGGCCATCTGCCTGCAGGTTTGTTGGCAGAGATGATGCCAAGTCAGTATTGGAGGATGAGGCAGAGGCTCTGTTTGACTGGCCGAAGATGGCAGTTCCTTCTGACCCTGCACTGTACAGGGACACAGAGCTGGAGGACTTAGAAATGGGCTGAGACGACAAGTGGTGGCCTGATTCTGCAAGGAAAATGTAATGACGAAGGTTAGATCACTCCCATTAGTTATTATTATACTATTTTTTTTTTTGACCCTGAATACATCACAACAGAGCTGCTTTTAAATCAACAGAAAATTATTCAGCTAATTTGACAGTTGATGGCTCTAGAGAACATGAGGCTTTATCTCGTCTCAACTTTATTGTGAACTGAATATCTTTGCGTTTTCTACTGATGCTCAGACAAAATAAGACTGCTGAAGTTGCCACCTTAGGCTTTGGGAAACTCCGATGGGCATTTTTCATCATTTTCTGATGTTTTGAAGACCACACGAACAATGAAAACAGTAGTTAGTAGTTGTAATATTAGGACTAATATCAACCAAGTCTTTTCAATGCAAAGGCCAAATAATTAAATATTCATGGTGTGTGGCTATGCTAGGTGTCCATGTTGCTACCTTATTTATTTCTTGACAAGTCCAACTCAACTCCTAAATCTGAATTTTTGTGACTTAAGTGTGAAACATGTCCAAGTTCGAAGTCTCCAGCTCTACGATACAGTAACCGAACAAAAATAACTACCAAATATAATCCATAAATTTAGATACCTTTGCGTTCTTTGTCCTCCTGCAGTCTGTTAAGGGCTCCTTTGTAGATCATGACCTGAGCCCTTTCCAGGTCAGTAAGAGACACGCTCTGTTTGATGGGACAGGGCCTGACCGCCCACTTCACCATGCTCTGCACCACATACTGCAACACTGATCTCAGCTCAGCACTCTCATCCCATTGTTTGCTGATGGTCTTAGCCTGGTCAGGGTTTAGGCTGGAGAGGGGACTGACTGAAGAGCTGGAAGGGTCATGTTTAGATACTAGAAGCAAATCTGATAGCTTCTCACAGCTAAAAATGACAGTGAGGGATTTCAAAGCTCCAATGAGAAGATATGAGACTCTTACTGCTCTCAGTTCAAGTGCAAAGGCATCTGCTTTAGAGGTTTGGGATGTTTGGTGAGGTAGGGATAGACAGGTCAGCTCCTGATGGTCCGTAATCTTTGTGGCATCTTTGGTTGAGGACGATGATATGAAGGGGTCTGTCTCAACCTTCTGATCTTTAAATTTTTTCCTCTCATCTTCTGTCAGCCATCTGACTTCATCAGATGCGTCTTCATCCAAACAGCTCTGCGTCTCGCCCTCTTTCGTGTTCTCCTCTGAATATTTCCTTTTGGGGCCTGGATAAGCCCCCAGCCACCCCTGCTCCTCCAGCAGCCCCATCAAATAAATCAGATCTAACAACACCGTAGGTTTGAGGCCTCCGAGTCGGGTGACATCGCAGCAGGATATGTCACAGGGCTCCAATGAGATGATCGGCGTGTCGCTGGGTGACCAAGAATTCATGGAGCTTAGTTATTGGAAGGATGGGAAGAACCCACAGATAGAGCATGGATTGACACCAGGACGGATTCAACAGGGGTTAATGGATTTAAGAATGAAGAAGGGGAAGCAAGAAGAAAGTAAGATCAGAGGGGTAAATGATGAAAAAAAATAAAGTAACTCACACAGGAGGAAAAATAAACACTAACAGAAAAGAATTATACAGAGTAGTAAAGATGCTGAAAGGACCAAGACAAGAAAAATATAATAATTGTTTAATGGAAGTTAATGAGAGTCATAAGTTAAGAAACATATACAAAGACATTTAATCATAAATAAGTAGGCGTAAGCATGAATATATATTTGTAATACCTGACAGAGAGGTCTGGCTCCTCCCACTGAAGCTTGGCCAGGGAGCTCCCTTCTTTCAGGACGCCAAGCAGAATAGCCCTGCGTCCGCTGGGTTTGTGTCGGCACAGACCTCCAGCCCGCAGACCACTGTCCACTCCTCCGATCAGGGCCAGTACCGGCCACACTTGGTTGCAAAGAGCAGCCAGCTTGGCCTCTGACAGGGACCGGCGATGTGCTGGCAATTCCCCTGTGTCGTCACCAGCCTGGTCTTTGTCTCTTTCATCCTCTTCTTTCTCAGAGTGTGTGGGACTGAAGCCTGCAGGAGAATGTATGACAGTGACAATCAAACAAAGAGTAATACCAATTTAGAAGATGTCCTTTATAAGGACAATACATTTCACATAAAAGTACATATTACCTTAATCAGTTGCCTTTAATTTTGAAACTCAAATACTCGATACTGCTTAACAGTCAGTGGCAAATGTTCAAGCCACAGATGTACCAAATCAAATAAGATTCTCCAGCTGGTTTCCTCCATCTGTTCTTCACACCAGCTGCTCACTCCTGGGTCCATGACAGGTGGACTGTGGCTGACAGGGAATTGTTTAACGTCTCTATTGCTTTTTTTTTTGTTTCATGTAACACATAACTGAAAGATAATGTGGAAACCTACATTGGTCAAAGAGAAAATTAGGGCCCTTCCTGTGTCCCTCAAAAATCTTAGGGGGGTAGTTATACACAAATCTAGCATACCTGGTACAAAATGTAACCGAGATTACTAGTACAAAACAGCAGGCTAAAATGTCTAAACTTGTGCCTGACCTTGATTGAAGCTTCCTAAGTCATCCTCTTTCAGCAAGGGACCAATGAGCTCAAGCTGGGTATGGATGTGCTGGTTGATGTGCAAGGCCCACTGGTCACACTGATGGAGCCTGCGGAGGAGCTGCACCGTCGACTCCAGCAGCACCGTCGTTCGAGGGCTGCAGAGAGGCTCACCAGGAAGTAGATTACTGGGCATACCTCTCATCTGGAGGTCACGCAGTGCCACCTGTGAGAAACACAGAGGCACGGTTTTGTTGCACTACAAATGTTTTCCTTGTCTTTAAATTTCTGGGTCCTAGTGTTGATACAATCCACAGGTGTCTTTATTCCAACTGTGGCTAAAGATCATGGTTATCAATAACAAAAATGCTTTGCTTGGGGGCAAGAGCACAAGTGCGCACATGCAACACATGCCCTATGGAGTAGGTGCGTACAGTATGTACCTTCTCTCCAGGATTACTGCTGTAGAACAACACACAGGGGTACAGTTCAGAGGCAACCACACCTTCAAATGCCAACTTTGGCTCCTGGCAGAAAAACACACACAAAGATTTCAGAGAAAACACAGCAGTCAATTAGAGCAAAATTCCTGAATGCTAACTGTGAATATCTGGTCAGACCTTGTCATTCTTAGCAAATGATATGGTGTGAGCCTCCATGTCCAGGATACAGGTGATGGTGTCCCCCTGGGTAAAAGATGGAAGTGTGCGGACTAGCTCTCCTCCATGGTACAGGTTGCCACTATAAGCACGATACAGCCACATGTCAGTGGTGGTGTGGTGGTTGTGATCTCTGACTGGCCAGCGTGAAACACCAATACACGTGCCCTCATTGCCCCGGTTCTCTTTGGTAATGTAGAACTGGAGAGAGGAGAGAGGTTGAGTACATGTCAAGTTATTAAAGATTTGAGTGATAAAATCTGGTTAATGAACAAGAAAGAGAGATTAGACACCACCACCTTACCTTCCATATGAAACAGCCAGAGGTGATGGAAGTGGTTGCCAGGCCGTAACCTTTCCCTCCTGAACCATGGGAGAGGATGTTCCCGCTCTCTAAAGAACAGCAGATTATCTTGTGCGGGTCAAAGGAAAAATCTCCAATGGGAATACATTCATCGTAGTTGCCAGGATTCTGCAAAACATGTGGTGGATAACACATAAGCACCGTACACCAACATGTCCATCAACTGAATATGAAAGTTGGTTGCAATGAGAAATAGAGAATGGAAAGAAAAATACAAACAACATGACACTTTGCACATTAAATGACAAAGATATAAATTACAAACGTCCCTAAAATGTAAAAATCTTGAAAATGCTAAATCTAAGGAAAATGGAAAAAGTTACAGATGTAAGAAACACTTCTAACCAACAGGCTGACAGAGAGACTGTAAATAAATGATCACTTATTAGCAAATCACATTTTCAGATGCTAATTATCATTTTATACTCAAGGGTTATATTTCATATGCATGTAATTCATGTAGTATTCTTGGCAATTTGACAGTTATCAAATTTGTTTTTATTTTTTTCTGTCCTCTCTCACTTCATATCCTACCCCCACCATGGAGAACGGGCCCATCTGTTCTATCAAGTAGCCCTGCTGTTTTCAGTGTCATTACTGCCAGCAGTGCATTTCCCTTCTTCCTGAACACAGCCATTTTCTCTCAGATTACTGCTTCTCTTCATTCACTATTTTCCACCAGTAATAAACACTTGCCACTTTCCTTTATGATATTGCTATGAAGGCAATAAACTTGGTTATTTGTAAACATTTCAACACAATTGTGAACAGATCGAAATGTGATCCAGAGTACTGAGCACAAAGCTCAGACAAGCATGTAATTCCTACAAAGCATGTAGAATCCATGGATAGAAAGAAGGCATTATACTGGTCATACAGCAAAATAATATAGTAAAAAGCATAGTATTGTAGGAATCTCTTAAATCTTTAAAGTAATAGTATTATTAAAGTGATACTACTTTATTACCCCCGTGTCTTTCTCAGCTGGTTCCTCATGATTCCTCTCAGCTAGTGGTTCCTCCCACATACAAACAGACAAGAGCTGAAAGAGCTGTTTAACAATCTACAAGGAGACAAAGAAAAACAAACATGGGAAAACTTCATCATAATGTACAATTTCAAACTAACAAACAGGGTTGCCAGGTATGCATTAATATCTTCTTCAGTTACTGCATGTTGTATCATACCTGTTGAATTTGAACAGGCTCAGAACAAGCAGGTAACAGTCGTTCTAAAACGTGAAAGGCCAAGAGCTTTGTGCGAAGGTTCTGGAAGCGAGGAGATCCTGAAAGGAGAACGGTGGTGGTGAACAGGGAATCAAATGGAGCTAATGTGAACTCTCCTGCAATATAAATAATAGCAATGCTGTTTTAAAATGATTATTTTAAAGTGTCTTACCTGAAGGGCACTTGTGTGAAATAATGGCCATTAGTGGATCAATCCATTTGACAAAAGTAGAAAGTCTTTTCATTACTTTTAATGACAGCACACGCCTCAGAAACACCAAGAAATCTGCAAGTTGAGATTCAACCACTTTGCTGCTTTCCACTCCTGAAACAACAAAATAGCAAGAAGACTGTGCTCAAAAACACAATTAATGGCTTTATGTCTGTCCTTTGAAAGAAGAAACTGAATTGTGATCTTTTCATCACATTGTATTCACAGTAAAACTATTTCAGGGATGTTCAATATAGCTAAATTTGCCACACCAACTAGATTTGCGCTCTTGCTGTTGGAGTCCAGATCTGTTCTCTCAGCTGCTCCTCTCTCTGCTGTCTGCTGCTGGTGGAAAGTGTGCAGGACATTTTGGAGCTGCTCACACATCACGTCCATTAGGGCATGGGAGACATCAATAGGCAGTGAATCTTCACAGGAGCTGAGACAACAGACAACTTGTTATGCAACTGTCAGCACTAAAATGTACCTTAACTTTTCAGGGAATGAAATAGTAGAACAAGTCCTGCACACTTCTTAACAGCTGCTTACACTCCACACTCTCACCTTGCAGCGACAGTCAATATCTGAAGCAGGCGCGTACAAGCTAGTCTGACAGCCCCACTCAGTAGCATGGATCCAGATGTAGTGGCTGCAAACCAACTCTGGTTCATCAGAGCACAGCTGTTGTTGGTCAACATGGAAAGGATTTCCAGGATGCCACATTTGATGACCAGCACCAGGTCCACTGGTTGGTAGCAGAAATTCAGTGCAAACATTGTGGCGAGGAGAAGGTGCTGGCAGGAACCTGAGTACGATAGAGACAATATCTCAGCTATATGCAAATTAAAATGAAAACTGCAGAAGAAACAGCCAAGGACAAGTTGTACAGTGCTGTTCATATGAAACTCCAACATGCTAAATAGATGCAAAACGAAATAATCACAAACAAACCTGTATGTTCTCTTTCAAACAGAACCCTCTGTCTGAGGACACGCACCACCTGCTGGTAGAAGTTGTGGGCTGCAGACTGTAGCTCTCTCTGCGTATCCATACAAGCTGAATGTGTACCAGACTGGATTGAGATGAGAGGGATTGGCTAGTAATTTATACAACAGCAAATTCATGAAATATAATATCAGTGTTTCCCCTCTCTCCATCCGGCTGGATTAAATAGTCATTCTCTTTCTTTCTTTTCATCTCTACTAATCATAAACATCTGCACAAACAATCTGATAACATGATTACTAGATGTACCATGTAATGCTGCATCTCATAATTAGCTCCAGAGTGAGAGCCAATGATTTGGGTTCCCAAAGCAAAGCATCCAGAGAGGAACTGAAGCTGCACGGACTGCAATAACGCAGGAAACTGAGACGCGACCGTGAACCCGCTGCTCTTCTCCTCCATCTTGGACAGGAAGGATGACATCTGACACAAGGCCTCTAGACGCATCTGACCATGACAAAGGGAATAGTTTTTAGTTAGATAGGCCCTTCACATGTTATCACAGAACTCCATTACGTCTTCCAAATCATTTCCAGAGCTGCATTTTGCAAATCTTGTTGCAGGTTTTAAATCATTTCCACCTACCTTTGGGCCTATGTGGCTGATTACATCTCATTTAATTAACAATATGTAAAACAAATAGCTGGAGGTGCTACAGAGGTCTAAATCCTCAGCAGCATTCTTTAAGTTTTTCTTTTAATATAAAAAAGAAAAATCTAATTACCTCAGCCCTCTGTTGCTGCTGCAGTATAGCAAAGGTAATGGCCTTCGGATCCGCCTGACTACACGTCTGTCCACCCGGCAGTGATGGCGAGGAGGATGATAAGTGGATCAGGCTTCCACATACAAAGTGGAACACCTGGTTGAGAATTGGCAAAGTGTTGTTGCCATATTGGGACATGGTCGCGGTCGGGCTGATACACTGCCGCAGGCGATCCCAAGCGTCTTTCATGATGCCCAAGGAGCACAGAGGTAAGCCTGGAAGACACAGAGCAGAGGAACAAAGGCAAACATTGTCTCAGTCTTTTCTGATATAATATTTCAACACCTTTTGTGGTGTTAATCATTCAGTGTTCAATGTTTGTATGAATAAATACTTGTGATTTCTCACACTGACAAAAAAAAAAAAAAAAAAAAATTTCTCATGAGAGACTTATTCATACTGACAAAAAGAGTCCATCTCTTTTTGGTGTCACACATACACATTGTTCAGTAGTTCATCAATTTGGAAAATATTTGCTTCCGTTATATCGTGTTATATCTTGTTTAATCAATCCATACCAAAACCGAAGTGTAAAAATAACAATTTCTGGTTTTACAGAGGGTTCTGACTGTGCCAGGCTGCAGCTGTTCATCTTTATAATAAGCTAAGCTAACCGGCTGCTGGCTGAAGACTTATATTTAGATGGCAGATATGAGAGTGGTATCAATCTTCGCATATAAGCAAATCATTCAATAATGCAGGACTGTAGTTTATGACATTTCAAAAAAAATGCACAAATTGTACAAATATTTATACGTACCCATTTTATTTTTGGTGGATCCCAAGGTATTTTTGGACTGGTCAGACTGAATGAAACAAGGACAGTATGTTAGCACTGATAAGGAGGTATAAACCCACAATGAGCTGCACTGTGCTTGTGCTGTACAAGACTAACCTGTTTTCGGCTATCAGCAGCTGCCGTAAAGGATTCTGTTGATTTCCTGAAAGTGAATGGACATTTAATTCAGTTCACAGAAACCACAGCAGCTCTATAACAAAAAACAAAAACAAATGCACTGCCTGACTTAAACTCTACCTTGCCCCATTGTTCACAGCCTGAATATTCTCCCTTTCGCTGGGTTCCACCCAAGCAGGCCTGACCCCCAGCAGGAGGAAGAGACAGCGGGACGCCACCAGATGGCAGGCAGCAGGGAAAGACAAGCTTTCCTCAGACTCCCTGTGCTTCTCCCACTGCTGCTTAAGATCTGGCTCCCTGTCTGGGCTGACGGGGCTTTCCATGCTGCTGGGGAGGGTGGAAGTGCCAAATGACTCGTACACTGTCACGTTCTGCTGTACCTGCATGGCCTCCCGGGTGGCCATGAATGATTCTAGGACCTCTGCAGAGACAGGAAAGACACCTGAGAACCAGATGTGTTGTAATGATGACTTCTGTGCATGTAACTTGTAGTTCTATTTGCATCAGCCTACAAACTTTTAGATACAAAACAAAGCAAATTTTTAAAATCACAGGGGTAAGTTAGAAACAGAGATATGCGTTTCTAACCTGACATGCACATACGACTATTGCCAAATGCATCATCCTCTGCAACCTCCTCCTGGTTGTGGTTGGCTGTGGGAGGTGAGGTCACCTGCACCTCCCGGCTACAGTGACCTGCTGACTGTTGCTCGTGATCCTTTCCCGCTTGCTCCACCGAGGTCCCTGGCTGTTGTCTGTCTGTATCAGGGCTTTGGGGAGATTGAGCGGTCTGCAAATCAAGAAAGCAAAAACATAAGCTTTAATAAATATGTAAAATACATGTACTTTTCTCTGTTTTAATCAGATGATGTCTGAGTCCTTTTTAATATAGTGGAGAAATGAATGATGAAACAAAAGGTAAAGGTGCAATAATTGTTACAAGGCCAATCATAATTTTTCAGTACAAATATTAAGCTATATATTGTTTAGAAATCACTCAGTTTTGCTCTATAATTGTTTCATTTAAGTAATGGTACCTGTTTGGCAGCAGCCTGCACCTGTGACGTCCTTGTAGAGTTTTTATGTGCCAACAGAGTGCTTCTGATTTTATAAACGGTTTCATAGACATCTAACAGCTTCTCACAGGGATCATATCTGTGGAGAAATAGAGTGGATAATTAGCATTGTTTGACTGTAGATGTTATACAGCAACAATTAATTCACATTATTCCGTCCTTTAAAAATAACAAAATGGATAAACTTCAATAACTAAGTACTGAGAAGACATTTCAGTAAATATTACATTTGTATTACTAACCTGTCCTGCCAATAGGCCTCATTCTGCAGACCTGTGTGTTTCAGAAGAGCAGCCAGACTGCAGCGACAGACCGTCTGCAGCAAACAGTCGCCTGAAGAGCCTCCGCTCTCCCATTCTGCTCTCACAGCAAAACAATACAGCTCAATTACAACAAAGTGACAAACAGGAAAAATACACAGCCTAAAGATCTGAATTTTTTTAATTAATCTAAGTATATTGTAAAGCAAATGACCACAGCAAGTGTGATAATGTTTGACAGTTCTGTCAAGCAAGATTTTAAAAATCAGCAGTTGGTCCATTATCACCTGGATATTTACATTATAAACATTCAAAAACAGGCACACACTCGTTCACCTAAACAAAAATGTGCAAGTGAAAATACCTTTGCTGTGAGCATACTCCTCCATCTTCTGCCACAGTCCACTTGCAGGTCCTCTGGAGGATCCCAGTGCCAGTTCCAGTAAAGTCCTGGTTTCCTCATTCAGATTGAGCTCTGCAAGCCTGGCATCACTGCTGCCCAGAAGCACGACCTCAGTCAGCCATGCCATGCTGGAGTCTAAAGGACAAAGCGTCACATGGGACACAGGATAAGCTATAACTTTAAGTTGCAGATGCCCTTCAGGGTCTCCTGGTCTAAGATGTATACCGTATAAGGTGAGCTAGGTAATGTTGCTGTTTATAATCCCATTCACTCTATCCCCATGTTTCTTATCTAGCTCTACTGTCAACTACCTAATAAAACAAATATCCCTCCTCACTCATTAATAGTCTCCATAACAAACCAAACAGAATGTGGACACATTGGTGCAACATCAATCTTAGGATGACAACTGCTTTCAGTTGGCTTGCCAAGACATTAGCACACGTGAATGCATGGAGAGCAAGCAGTTTGTTTTCTTACCCAGCTCCTCAAAGTCCATCTCAAGGCCGTTCCTGAGGAGGACATTTGATAGCCAGAACTCTGCTGTTTTCTCCTGGAGCGAGGGCGGCGGACCTTGCAGCATACCACCAAGGCAGCGGCCGACTGCCAACGCTACAGACCGTTCCAGGTCCAACACCCAAACCCACTTGCACTCCTCCTCCTGTGGCTGCTGTCCAAGGCATGTGTTTTCTTCACTCTTATCTGTAGAGAAGACCCCTTGTCATTGTGAAACTACTCTATATTTTTTCCAAGAAGAATCTAAAGTATAAAAATGTGCCATCCCCTTAAAAAAAAAAAAAAAAAAAAAAAAAAAACTATATACATGTCAAATCTGTGGGTCAAGCATGTAGGTCAAAATGCACTAACCTGAACAGGTTTTTTGAGCCTCTATCCCCAGTTCTTGTTCTTCCAGGAGGCCTGTCTCTGGCAGCAACCTATTGAAATCATTGAGGTGCTCCAACAAGGCCAGTAAATGGCTCAGGAGAGGTTGAACTGTTCCCAGGGGGAGCAGTAGCAAGGAGTACATTACCTGGCACAGCAGGCTGCCAGCCACTGAGTTGTACAACACCACTGGGACAAGGGGTGAGACGAGAGAGGGGGATTAGACTTGCTGATAAAATTGAGGACTACAGCCAGAAAACGGATATAGAAGCAAAGTAGAGGATTAAATTATAGATTTTAAAATCCATTTATTGAATGTGTTTATGTGCTTCTCATCAGATCAACTTAACATCTCAGTGTTAACTGATCCAACTCTACACTCTAAATTCTGTAGACCTAACAGTGCCATTATATACATAAGTTAAGAAAAATAATTATACCTGATGTTGTTTTTGGCACACAACACTAAAGTATATACAGAGATATCTGTTTGAACCTGCCCTTCCACTGGTCATTAAATAATAAAAAGGAAAATAAAATCATTTCCGTGATGTTTTGTGAGTGTGATTAAAAGAACCATCAAGATCTTTGCAAACAACTCACATAACAACAATAAATAATATGTGGGACAGCAGAGTATCTAGGCTATAATAATGCACACTTGTTTCAAGCCTTTATTCTTACTGTTCAGCTTCTTGATGATTTGTTTATCCTGGGAACTCTCCTTCAGCAGCTTGGTGGATCTCCTGAGTGTCTCAGCAGCACAGGGGAGCAGCAGGTAAAGATGTTCACGAAGCAGCGTTACACTGCTGTCATCCTGCAAAACAGAGGAATCATTATAAACACAAATGCAGCTTATAACACCACAGAGCTCAGGGTAAAATATTCAGTTTAAATATACAAGACCTGTCAGCATAAGACTATTATTATTATTATTATTATTACTATTATACTGAAAAAATGGATGGGCCATTTCCTGTTAGTTATTTCTGTAATAATAATGCACTGTACATTTTATTTGTTGTATATTGTTTTATTTTGTATAGTTGTTACTTTAGTGTACCTCAGGGCTGGAATGGATGAAGCAATGGGCGAGCAAGTGTTTGTGAAGTCCAGACAGCAGCTGGTGGAAGTGACAGGGAGGATCAGTCTGTCCCTGGCTATCACTTGAAAGCTGTTTGTCACTGTTTTTCTCCAGTTCCCCAAATGCTCGCTCCTGTATGAACACACACAGGAAGAAAATGAACATGGAGGAGCAGGAACATCGCTCTAATTGAATGCTAACAATGTGCAACAAAATGTCCAGAAGTTAAAGAAACAGTACAAGTGAAACAATGCACTACAAATGCCCAAAAACCATTCTGTAAATCTCTCCCCCATCCAAAATACAAAGTTACACACGAACACATGAGGTCCTCGGTTCCATACCGTGTAAAAGCCTATGCTGAGGAGCAGGGTTCTGAGGAGCACCTCTGCTAAATGCAGTGGGTCATAGGCTTCAACGGAGCTTGATGAAGAGGGCGGCCGGGCTGACATAGCAGGTGTCATAGGCGGTCCCAGGGCTGTCACCTCCCCAAAATTGCTGTAACCCAGTAGAGAAGCTACATGGCTCTGGTCCTGAAGGCTACTGAGGACCATGTCTAACTGAAGACGCTTTGAAAGATGGAGATGAAAGAGGAAGAGAGAACTGTCTAGTATTTGATCATGTAACTGTGAGGTTACCAAAAACATTTCTGCAGTGAAGAAATAATGTTCTGACATCAACACATTTTCACAACATTCAAGCAATCTTCACATATTGCCTAGCAACACTCCGAGTTGGCGCTGTGACTTTGACAAACACACTGTTTGCTAGCTCCATCCAATTCCTGGCCAACTCTCTGGATCAGAGTCATAGTTAAAATGAGGGAAGCCAAGCAGCCACGGCAGAATACATGTTCTTGAATTGTGTCCTTGCATTTACACAAACATCTTCTATATGGACCAGATTCTTGACAAAATGCATATAAACCACAGTTGGTCATAATAAACATCACTGCAAATAATGACACATTATTCTTTTTTTTTTTGCCCATACCTGGCCTTTGGAGAGGACATTCAAGCTCTGAGGGCCCTGAGGAAGGAGGGAGAGGAGTAGTTCTGTTCTTTCCCTCAGTGGAGGCAGCAGCAAAGATGCACCAATGGACAGCGTGCTCAAAACTGCCTGAGGATGGAGAGGAATATCAGCACAATATGAAAATACACATGGTGATCAAGGGAAAGGAAGTATTTACAACAAACAATAAATAAAACTAAATTAGCGCAAATAACTAACTAACAACCTAGATCACACTTTGATTTAGACACTACATAGTTATATAGTTATTATCCTGGCACCAATCCTTCCAAATCCCACTGTCATATGTGACCATAAAATTATTAAGAAATGGACAGCATTTTAGTTTACCTGTTGTATGGAGTCCGGCATGTTGGTGTCTATGAGCCTGAAGAGTAGATTTCTGAGGGGTCTGCTCTGAGCCCCCAAAACCATGGCACCAGTGCCCCCAGCATGGGCCAAAGACAAGTGGATGGATAGCAGCTTCATGCACAGCAAAAGAAACTGATGGTGGTCCCTGAGGCAAAGACAGTGTAACATTAGGAGTGTGGGTTCAGTGGAAAGTGAGTCAATGTGTCCTCCTCAGTGGTGGTGAACTTTTTTTGTCTGTATGATTCTACACTGAATATTTTCAAACACAAATAATAAAATACAACTTTGAGGTAACTGAGTACGTTAGCGTAATTGTAAGGTGATTTCGTACCTTTTAGTTAAGAAAGGAGCAGGGGGTGTGTCATTCCCGATGCCATCACAGTAACTTTCTAGGAAGTTGCGCAGGTAGGTGAATGTACTCTCCTCCAAGTCGACACAAAAGGGCCTGTGCCATGCTACCAGTTGCCTGGAAAAAGACCAAGTCAATTAAAAATAACTGATGCTACACAGATGAGATTTTGTTTTTTTGGATGTTTACATTGTAAAAGAATAGAATATATAAAGTTGAGGCTTTACCGGTCAGTTGGAACTGCAGTCCAAGCCAGGCTGTGAGAGGTGCCAGCAGTGATTTGCTGGATCGAAACCCCCTCTAAACCGAGCACTTTCTTAGGTTTGGTAATGGGTGTTGAAGTGTGGCCTTGCCCACACTGGCCCATAGTGTTGTTCCCCCAGGCATACACTTCATTTTCTGATGAAAGAAGGGCAGATCACAATTTTAACATCCCATTTACAAAGATAAAAATGATCATTCTTACCCTGAGTTTAAAAAAATATTCTAAAAGCAAGGTTTTTTTGAATAATTATCTAATCATCTCAGTAACTATGAACTGCTGAAGGTATCTTACCATGGGACAGAGCCAGACAGTGGCTGTCTCCACAAGAGATATCAATGATCTTGGTGATACCCAGGTCCTCTACAAACCTGGGCCTCAGAGAGGTTGTCTCAGAGGAGCCACACCCTAAGCACGAGCCACAGCCCCATGCAAACACCTAAAGAAATAACATTGCATGAACAAAAATTAAAATTATTGACATTTAGTCCTTGTATTTGGGATGTAATCAAATGCAAATACATTATTTGGTCTGAGCATATCAAGTGCTGATAAAGACAGAGAGTGACAGATAACAATGGCTACAGTGATGTTAGAATGTTCCTTCAAAATAAAAGCTTGCCAACAAAGAGAGCTGAGCCTTGTTCAAATTTGTCTTTTATTTGATTATTTTCTGTCACAAGATCAGTGGTGTGTAAGGTAAGGTAATGTGTCAAAGAGCTATAGTTACAAACTTTGTTATTAAATTGAAACCACTGGTCAGTTCTGACCTTGAAAAATCATCCCTGACCCAAAATGCCACATCTCACCTGTCCAGCAGAGGTAAGGGCCAGAGATGATTGGCTGCCAGCACACACTTTCCTGATGATGAATCCATGCAGGGCCTCTATGACCTTGGGGCGATACACACGATTGGTGTCTCCATGACCTAGTTTACCTGCAAGGATGAGTCATATCTGAGTACCAGTATCACACCCTACTAGCTCAAGATATTTCTGTTATGATAGACCACACATGATACTGCGATGGTTCTGTCTAGGTACAAAAAGCATCTGATTTTCTGCTCAAGCTAATTTTTATAATTTGTGCACAAAAGAAAGTCTTTCACTAAGTGTGTGATTTCCAGCTGCCATGTCATCTGTCAACATACCGTTGTCCCCTCCTCCAAAGGACCACACAGTGTGTCCGTCCTGTGCCACAGCAATGGTGTGGGAGCTGCCACAGGCCACCTGACCCACACCACTTATGTCCTTTACCAGTGTGGGCACGTTCCGACTCTGGCTGTCACTGTGACCTGGTCAGGGGGGAGAAACATAGCATGTTGCTAACATACCAGAGGATTGATTTCACTTTGAAAAAGTTGAGCCAAATAAGCACAAGCAACTATAGAAATAAGGTGCGTACCCAGTCTGCCAAAGTCCCCTTCTCCCCACGTATATAGCTCTCCATCATTAGTCACAGCAGCACTGTGTCTGTAGCCAGCAGACACGCAAACAACAACCTGGCAGAGACAAGGTTATATATATATATATATAAAAAAAAAAAGAAAGAAAGTGAAATCACTTCATGCCTTTTGAAAAACGTGAATAAATGTACAAGGCCACTCCCTGTAAACGGATGTGTTTTCTATATGCTTACTTTGCCTAATAGCGGTCCTTGTATGATTTTGGGGTATTTCTGTGTAGCACTGTTGCCATGGCCCAGCTTCCCATACTCTCCATCACCCCAGCTGAACACCTGCAAGAAATATTTTTAAAATCTTACTATTATTACTAGAAAACCGTCAGTTACGATCTCACAAATACGTATAGAGGAAGTGGAAATGTAGTTATTACTCACATGTGCTCTATTTATTTAATAAATTCAGAAAAAAAACATTACTCATTTGTATTATGTAACAGAGTAGAAAATTCACTGTTGAAACTACAGTCTACAAACCTTTGAAATATGTATGAGCAATCAGAGGTCATTTCAGTTGCAGCAGTCATTTTTACTTCTTACCTCTCCCTCTACAGTGATGGCCAAAGTGTGACCGTCAGAGCCCTTGGAGGATGACACTTTCTTCATGTTCCTATGTGGCTCCAGCACAAGTTTTTTGGGCATGGATTGGTTGTTCGAGTCCCCCAGGCCCAGGCGGCCATAGCTGCCTTTTCCACATGCTTTCACTGACCCATCTGCAGATACTGAGAATGTACAGTACTGACCCGCCTCAATCTAAAAGAAGAACCAAGTGGATAAAAGTAAGAACCTTAAAAGGATGAGATGCAATGCAGCAGAATAATATTATTTTAAAGTTTTTGGCACACTTTCAATTTTTCTCACCCACAAATGCACACAGAAGTCTATACTATAAACTGCAGTGATTTTGGTGTATGTGGCACATGTGATTTATAATACAAGTAGCACAAAATTCCTAAAATGATTATGGCTATTTGATGCTGGCTGAATGGAAACAAACAGACAAATGGTGTGATGATGTACAGTACTGTGCAAAAGTTTTAAGCAGGTGTGAAAAAATGCTGTAAACTAAGAAGTGTTAATAGTTTATTTTCATCAATTAACAAAATGCTGGACATCTTCCAATTTCAAAGGGAAATAAGCTTGATGTGTTTTTCATCTGCTGCACGTTTCCTTGGCCGACCACTGTGTCTATGATCCTCAACATTGCCCGTTTCTTTGTGTTTCTACAAAAGAGCTTGAACAGCACATCTTGAAACCCCAGTCTGCTTTGAAATCTTTGTCTGGGAGAGACCTTGCTGATGCAGTATAACTACCTTGTGTCTTGTTGCTGTGCTCAGTCTTGCCATGGTGTATGACCTTTGACATGAAACTGTCTTCCACAACCTCACCTTGGTAGCAGAGTTTGGCTGTTCCTCACCCAGTTTTAAGCCTTCTACACAGCTGTTTCTGTTTCAGTTAATGACTGTGTTTCAACCTACATGTGAAATTGATGATCGTTAGCACCTGTGTAGTATAATTGGTTGATTTTACACCTGACTATAATCCTACAAAATCCCTGACTTTGTGCAAGTGTACCTATAAGAATTGATGCTGGTTTGAAGGCAAAGGGTAGTAACACCAAATATTGATTTGATTTAGATTTTTCTTTTGTTCGCTCACTTTGCATTTTGTAAATTGATATATATTTTTGAAAGCATTCTTAGTTTACAGCATTTTTTAACACCTGCCTAAACTTTTGCACAATACTGTATGTTTTTGCTGAAAGAACAAAACGGACTGGAGATGGATGTGTACAACTTTGTATGATATAAAAAATACCAAAAAAAGTAGTTGAAAAATATATATGATGATAAAGGTAAATAGTCTGTCTATTGCCCTGTTTAGACCTGGCATTAACATGCTGCTACTGCTGATACTGCTCTAAGTGCAGGTGTAAACACACCCAAGACACATTGAGGACACATTTGAGAGCCGATCACTAAGACCCCATTCTGAGGTGTTGTGGGCCACATAGAGGGACCACCTACTCAACTGAGAGAGATTTTCTTTAAATTGATATGAGAAAAGGAGAAGAAATATCTACCAAATATAAAAAAATGTTTTATATTTGTAGTGTATATAAGTAGTATATAGTGTTCTTTTAATATATTGAAAATCCTAAACTGTAATGACTTAATATGAATAATGATAATGAATAAAGCATAAAAATAAGTAAACCCGTGAAATGGGAATAATGTGGTTAGTGTTAGTCCGGTGCTTATGTGTAGTCATACCATTTGAGCATCACTGAAGCCCTGTGTCAGTTTTGGCAGCAGGATTTTCTCCAGAGTTCCCTCTGCCAGCTGATGGCTGCTGTTGCTGCCCCACACATACACCATGACTGTGTCACTCTCTGTACCAGGAGAAGCTGCATCAGTGCTGCAGGAGCACAGGCAGTAGGATGCTAGGTTACAAATCTGCCAAAGGGAAGGAAGGTGAAGTTCTTTGAATCAGTTACTGGGAAAGGATAACAGGTGTTAATAGTGTCTACATGTTACAGTATGTGACTAAATTCACTGTTACCTCCTCAAAGAGGCAGAGAGCTGCCTGGGAGAGCCGACAAAGTCCATCTGCATCCTTCTTCAGCACCTGAGTATTGACAGAGTCTCCACGGAAACCCTGGAAAAAAAACATGTTTAACCTTCAACATAGTATTCTTAATATAACTCAATATTTTATATATTAAGTTGGCTTGGATTTATGGTAAATCAGTTTTCTTACATTCCTAGGGTGCTATAGGTGCTCATTATTCTAAACCCTATATCAGAACAAGAAGGGCCGCTTCCCAAAAACAGAGACATGTCACTGCATGATCAGATAGGGGGTGAAGTCAAGAATGAGAAAGCGGCAAAGACACAGCTGTCAGCGGAGACACAAGTTACTGGAGAGAGAGCAGCAGGTTGCTTACCTCTTTTTTCCTCTCACCAGAAACCGAAACTAAATTGTGTTGAAAGGTCTGTGATCCCTCAGATCTTTATTGTAGCTTATATGTGGGATGTACTGTACATGCAAACTCTTAAATCTACAATCTGAAAATCTGTTATCATGTACAGTATCATGAGGTTGTTGGCAGTACCCAGCCCTGGCTGTCATTTGCACAGAATATTGCAAAGCTGATTAGCCTGTTAAGGATGACTCAATACGCATATCTCGAGAGGACAAGAAGACTGACTCAATCCTAATCCTATCTGCAGACTAATACATCACTATGAGCTTTAAATGAGACTGTTCAAATAAAAAGGACAGTCTACAGCAGGGATGGATGTGGCAGTAAAGAGTCATTTTCCTTCTTAACAGGCAAAGGGCCTCATTTATTGGTATGTTCAAAGTTAGATACATCAAAATGTATGAACTAACCACTGCTAACCAATGCATTTATACATTACAGCATATGATCCAATGTTATGGTCTGGAAATGTTAAACTTCTATAAACTAATAAATCCAAATTCCTCTATCCTGATGTCAAGACAAAGGGATATAAAATCAGTCCTTTTAAAGGTAGCTTGATAAATGCTGCCAACCATCCATGACATAGACACCAGGTGTTGTTCATAATAATGGTTATGGCTGAGCAGAGTTGATGGTACATATAGTAAAAGGAAGATAACATATATAGAATAACATGTGACATACCGAATATTGCCTCATTTGGAAAAGGGTTTGATGGATGACTTCAAAGCCCACACCAGCTGACTGCTGCGAGCTCAGTGTGGAGGAGGAAGACAGTGTAGAGGTGCAGGAGGACATGGAAGCAGCCAAAGCGACCTCCACCCACTCCAGCAGAAACTTCAGAGACCCTCTCTGCATGGCCAGGCCAAGCAGCAGCTCCAGTGCTAGCCTTCGACCAGTGGGGTCTGCCCCACCGGTCCCACTGCTCACTGATGTCTTCTTAAGGAATTCAGCCACCTGTGCCAGGCAGTCCAGCCCCACCGACGGGATCTTGTTCTCATTGGCCAGAGAGAGTGGCGGTAGCGAAGCTAGCACCGAGGACGCCGTGGCAAGCACGTCATTGCAAAGCACCGACTCAGGATGGACAGAGGCGGCATATCTCCAGTTCTGCTGCAGTAATGAGAAGAGCAGACTCAAACCTGTCCTCACACCCATCTCTATCAGAACATCTGTACCCGACTTGACTTTGGATGCTCCCACTGGCAGGCAAGGCTCTGAGGCCAGCTCAAGTTGCCCACATTCAGCCCCGCTGTCTGTGGACTGGGAGGGCAGCTGCACGCGGAATTTGTCATGGTATTTGCTGTGAAGTGCGTAGTAAATCCTCTGCAGAACTACCAGCCTCTGGTGGAGGCCCAAGGTGTAGGAGGTTTGCGTCAGCATGCGGTGAGCCAGCCATCGCTGGCTGTGAAGCAGGGATGACAGGTACTCTTCCTTCTCCTCTGAGGCACTCGACTCACACTCGAAGTCTGGCAGGCGTGGGCCAACGAGTTCTTGAACAGGCTGGGCCAGAGTCACCACTTCCTTGTTGTGAAGAAGCTTACTGTAGAGCACAGAAGCTCCATGCCTCCTGGCTGTCTGTACGCTGTCTTCTGCTGCCCAGGAGCTATTGAAGTGCTCCTGCCACTTGAGCAACACATGGGTCTGACAAGGCACCATGTCTGAGCATTATCTATACTCTGATGGACACCTGAAAAAAGGTGGGAAATATGATCAGAAGAGCTAATGAGGCCTGTGTATTGGCAAGTTTATATAATTCACAACTATCACTCCCTCACACTTGATTAATATAATGAAAAGGCACTTTTATTTTCATCATCAATTTACAGGCAACATTTGCTGCTGAAAGCCAATGTTCTAATGCGTTCTCCTGCCAAGTAAATTCACGGTAAAGGTATCAGCTTTCTCCTTAGTGTTGGCCCTATTCCAGCATACAGCACATCCAGGCTATTGCCACAGGCCCAGTGGGTATCACTGAAATAGTTCAGCTCACCCTATGATTACGTCTAACACAACCACACTAATGAGGGCACTTTTGTCTCACAAGCCTTTATGCTGCACAATATCAAGACATTTCTGTCCATCTTCATTTAAGAGTATTAGTTTCATAATATGGCCGGTCAAAGCCAAAACCTGCTTTGAGAAATTAGGCACATGGGTGATTATAACTTGATCCCTCCTGACAATTCATTCATATTCTCTGTCTCAGTCAGAATCCTCTCAAAGTTGATCACCTGATGCTCTGACATACAATCCTGTAGAAGGATGACTTGGACTTCACCTAACCCCCAGTCTGCCTGACTGCATAGTTTGTCAGCTTTCCAAACAAATAAAAAGCAAGCCTGTTGTTGCTGTCGAGAGGAAATTCTAGATCTCCAAAGGAACAGCACTGTCGGAACTAAGAAAAACAGATTTTAATTTTCCCAGCTTGCATTTTAATCAATAATATGTAGGTTTGTTATCAGGTCTGAACCGACCGAAATCATTAAATGCACGTTAAAATGTGTCAGTCCCCATGACAGTCACTATATGGAGGTCAACATTCATAGCTTAGTGGGTAATTTCATGGGAATATTGCTTGTGTGACATTCTCATGACATAAGATAAAGCACATTCATCCTAACAACTCTGAACTATATTAAAAAAGGCAAGGCTAGTGCGAGAAAGAATCATTTCTAATGTATTTCAGACTTGATGGAAATCTGTGCCTTCAATACAAATGCATTTCTCTTATGACTTTTCATTCACAACACTGAAGTTTGAGGGTAAACTAACCACTGAAATCTGCTGTTGAAGTGAAGAATAGAAATCTCCATACTGTTAAGTCATGGCTGACACTATTAGTAAAACTTAAACAAAAACATGAACCAGCATGAGTGAGAGAATGCTAGTTGCAGCCTGCTAAACATGTGAGCATGCCACTTTGACTGTAGTCAACAGTCATAGCGCCTCATCTCTCTTGCCTTGCCTGAGGCCTGTGGGGCTATATGGTTTCCACTCTGGCCAAAAATAACAGCAAGCATTGATATAGTAATGGGCTCTTCGGTCAGACAACCACCAGCATGCAACCACTAGCAATGTTAGGCGCAACTATCACTGATTACAAACTATCTCAAGTTGTCGGACACAAACATTAAGGACACCTCTTGAGTTTGGCTCTCTTTTCTTCAGCCCAGCTAGCTTCAGAATTTATGTAGCCTACAATATGCAGTTCACAAATGTCAATCCATTCAAAACATGCACAAACCACTAACATCTTATATTACTTGTTATCAATTACTCGCTCTAAATTGAGCCAAATATCCCAACAACTTTACAATAAGATATAAAAAATAAAATCATAAAGGCTCACAGGTGGGCTCATGTGCAGGCCTAGATGCTGATGATAAAAACAATAGCCTTCATACATCAAAAAACAACATCAATGACTGGTAGCGCGGTGTACGATCAGTGGAAAAGTAAAAGTCTGTGATATTAGGGGGATTGACTGTGAAACTGGGTCACATCTCATACAAAGCGATAACATGTGCTCTTTTCTTAGTGGAATCAGATGCAGTAACACAATGCTTCTATTGGACCATGATGCTGAGAGAGAGAGATGAAAAGTGCCCATCACAATTTCCCAGCATCCAAGGTGACATTTAAAAATTGCTTATTTTGTCCAACTAACCATTCAAACCCCAAAGATATTCAATTTTCACTTTCAATGATATATAACAAGACCTAGGGTCAGGATGAACTAATGACAGTGTGTCTGCAGGATTTTCTGCAGGCCTCAAACCACAAGGGAATGAGCTCTGTATCAAATCCATCCTCCTTTACATTGAGAGAAGCCAGTCAAGATGGTTCTGGCACCTGCATGGCCCTCCATTTTGGTGACTTTCTGGGCCTGTGTGGGCAAACACAACCTTGGAAGACCCAGAACAGGAGTAAACAGTTTTACATTTCTCCTCTGACCACATAATAGGACTTGAAAGTCACCTAGACTCAGCGGGAGGAAGCTGCTGGGCCGAGGGTCGTTTGGGCTGCTGTTGCCAGGACAACCCCAACAATACGCATTTGGACAAAGGATGTATAGATGACTGATAATCATAACCCTTGCTAATGTAAGCAGAGGATAGGTGATATCAGAAGACACATACTGTGGGGAATTAATGTCTGACAGCAACTTAATTATCTTCAGCTGCAGGAGGGAAAAGACATACCGTTATATTCCATAAAAGCTACACTGTCATGTTGACACAAGTTAGGCATTGAGTTGGGCACTCATGCTACTGATGTTAGCCGACAAGATAATTTAATTAATTTAAAATTAACGACATTTTCCATCCTTGCTGTCTGGCTCCTTACTTTGAAGCGTCTGTCAACATTTTGCATCGTTAACGTTTATCGCTTTTCATTTCTGGCGATAGTTAGCTCATTGTTGCAGTGAAGCTATATTTGCCACAGCGACACAAACAACGAAATATGTGAATTTGAAACGCCGTCTCCGTCGTGTTGTTCACAAACACCGGTAACATTATTCTGCATCTGCGGTGACAGCTGAGCTAACGCTGGCTGCAGTGCAGTTGCTAGTCTGCTCCATGGCTGTCAAAAGCCGACCAAGCCCCTCCGCTTGTCCGCTGACAGCTCTCGGTAAAACGCTCCCGTGGCTAGTTAACGTCGCACTAATATGTTAACCTGGGTGTTATACTATTAAAATAGACAACAGACATGTAAGTTACCTTGACAGTAAGCCTCCGCCGATAAATGGTTTGCGTTACCTGTCCCGTCCCAGTGAGGTCTCCCTTGGACGCAAATATCATATCAACCTTCTCCTCTTTCCTCTTCTTCTTCGTCTGCTTGAATATTAGCCACTCCGTTGGATAACTACATTACCGCCACCCTGTGTCACGGAGTGAGGACGCATCATCATCATCCTCATCATCATCCTCATCATCATCATCTTGTTATTATTCGTCTACCTTTTATTTTTCTTCTGTTTTCCATTCTGACTGGACGCCTGCCTGACACAGTGCAGTGTGTGTGTTACATGTTTGAAGCCTGGTTTCATGAAGCGCGAATGTGCATGAATCCAGGACCAGACCAAGTATTTCTGGGGCCCAAACCTAACACCCCACCCCATCACCACCACCACCAACTTTAAAATCTACCCTCAAATCTATATCAATTTAAGTACAGAATTAGCCTAAAGAAAAAAAAAATCAACCACACAAACACTCTGTTCAGCCCACCTTCTTTTTATGCGTGTAAATTAGTATCTATTATTACAGCAGCAGCCTATAATAAACAGGATACGATAAAATCAGGCTACTTAAGGGTCTATCCACTGCTTTAACACATGAAGGTCAGCCTGTGAAAACAGATGCATAATGTCCTCAGTGGCTAGGGAAGGAGCTTGGTCATGCCTGAGAAAATAACCTTGATGATGTTGCATCATGGGAAATGTAGGATCCATTGTTTTTGGACCTTCGCCCACAATAGGGACTAAGGACCAGCTTGATTTTGACCAATCTTTTTCTCAATCTTGTGAGTCCTGAAAGTTTATGGAGCTGCATTACTAAATAGCCGAGGTACCCCATTTAAAGTGGGCTACTTCACATAATTCAGTTGTGTGTGTTATATGTTTATTTGTGTCTTTCATGCCATAATAACATTCCTATACCAATCAATTAATTTACTTGTTTTAAAAGTTACAAAATTAAAAAATAAAGGAGGAAAATTAAAATCAGGCTCTTAGAAACTTAAAAACACTCAATTTAAATAGGTCTATCTTTTAAACTGCTGTTGCATCTTAAATTTGATGGCATGTTTTATTTCAGTTTACCAGTTCCTTCTTCTTTGTTACAGAAGTCAATGCTAATAACATAATGAAAGACTAGTTTAGGGCTCAATAAACACATAAAACGCTATTTTAAAAATAATAATCTCGTTATGTTGAATACAGACTTTTTACGTTTCATTTCATTTTCACCTTTAATCTTTTAAACTGCACAGTCTTGCTTGAAGAATTGTAGGCTATATAATTATTTTTTACGAAGATAATTTAATTATGCTAAAATTGATCTATTGCATATATAGGCGATGTCAATAAGCTTTCCTATCATAGGATGTTGTGACTGAAAACTGAATTCTTCAAAGCTTAGCCAGTCACGACAGTCCTGAGTTTGGGGGCTCAGTCACTCACACAAAAACAAACCAAAGATAACTTATGACATCAGGTCACACGGATTTCAATTCCTGGATGGCGGTTCAGAGTTAATCCCACTTCCAAACCGGATTTCTAAAAAGGGGGCTGACTGGCAAAAGGGACGACAACACCGGAATGAGGAAATTGACGAGGGGCAAGCCATGTGCAAAACAAAGTTGTTCATCGCTGATAACCATGCAACCTGATGAACCAGAGGTCACTCCACTCAAGTCTCCCCGAGGCGACCCTCTTCTCCGTGTCTTCCCGAACAAACCGCTCATCCAAAAGCCCAGCAGCAGCCTTCCACCGACTCTCCCTGCATCCAGTGATGTCTTTTCTCCTCATCACAGTGCTGTCCTCACTTCTGCTGCGAGATGCTGAGGCGTGGGGCGCCAACGTCAAGTACGCGGTGAACTGCCCCGACAGATGCAACGCGGAGCGGTGTGGCGGGACACAGCGGTGCACACGGACGGTCCTGGATGATTGCGGCTGTTGCCAGGTCTGCGCAGCCGGCAGAGGGGAGCACTGTTACCGCACAGTGTCGGGGATGCACGGGGTGAAGTGCGGACCGGGATTATTCTGCGAGTTCTACAAAGATGAGGACGATTACGGTGACGAATATGGGATTTGCAAAGGTAAATTTGCATTAAATGGGCTATTTCAAAAATCTTGCTGCTCTTTCTGCATGCTGCGTTTTGAACAGAGTGATGCTCTGCTGCACCAAATCCCAATGTCCCATTATGTTTTCACTGTCTTTTAGGCTCTATTTTCTTAATTATCACAATAAACAGCACCACTGCCATATGACCAGAGAGGCTCATGTGCAGACCTGTGCACCCTTGCCTAAAATATTAATTGGTTATTTAACTTGATCATTTGCCCCTAATCTTTCTATCATCTGAGGCTTTAGTTAAGGTACTGAAACATCATTGCTGCTGCTGATCCCAGATCAGTTAATGATTGTGAATTAGAGTCTGTAACACTAACTAAAAAGTGGAGCCCACATGAGGTCCACTAATCTTTTTCTCTGCTTATTCTTTGTTCATAATGTTTAAGTAGCCTAATGTTCTTTTTTTTCTTTCCAGACTGTCTGTATGGAACCTATGGGGTTGAGTGCCGCAACACATGCAACTGCAAAGGAGGCATTTGTGACAGGGAGACAGGAACTTGTCTCACCCTCAAATTCTTTGCCAAAATCGCCAGCAAGCTCAAGACTGAGCCCCAAGCAGGTAAAAATTATTGAGGCTTCTTAAAATAAAGATAGCTCCTACTGCTTTTTTTAAATTATTTTTTTTTAAACGTTCTTATCACCAGTAAATTCTCAGTGTGCTTGTAGCAGACAAATGTCACACCAACATGACTAAATTAAGTTTTGCATGTTTGCATGAAGTGAGAGATGAATGAATCCTTGTATTTTCAGGGGGAGATGGCGGCTCAGGAGAGGTCAGCACTGCCCAGAACACAGATCAGCACACAGACAGATCCACTGCTCCGAAGCGGCTCAACCCTCGCTGACAAGTGCTGACAAGACTGAATCTTTTCAGTGTAAATGTAGCATTAACTTATAAATGATCTGAAAGATATATTTTATTATGTTAAATGATAAACAGACTTTTTTACAGCATTTGGAAGTTTTATTTTTGGTTTTTTTGGCCCTTGTCTGACATCTTTTCTAATGAAATATGCAGACTATGTTATTATCTCTCTCTATCTCTCTTTTATTGCTTTATATCTGTTTGTAGAGTAAATTAACTAGAATGATCCAGTTCCCCATTAGCTCCAGTGTCGACCTGAGTCTCTCAGTTCGTGTGCCTTCAAACATTATTGTTGAAGTAATGAGAGTTAATGTCACAAGAAAGGGCCGTGTGTTTATTTTCAAACTGGATACAGCAATAAGTTCTCCATTATGATATTTTATTTGTACTGTATATATGAAAACATGGGAAATATCATGTATGTGACACCAGCCAATGTAAAGAATGCTCTTACAATTAAACCAAAGTTATCACTGACTGCTGTCATTTCATTTTCATTGCCTAGTTTATCTGTTAACTTTATTAGATGTGCATCATTTCAAAGAGAAACTTCATAATCTAAAAACAATGACAGAAACAGGCTCAGTGGTTTTCTGATACAGTGATCAACAGTGAAATATAAACCTTATCCATGAAGGCAGTTCAATATAACTATACTATGATTTAAACATGTCTGCGTAGTCAAACCAATTGAAGTGCTGCAAAATAAAGGATAAATAACACACAATTACCAAATGGGAAGGACAAATGAAGAGGACCATAGTAAAAGTACATTTGCTTGTACATAAAAGTACAAATAAATACAAAGTGTAAAATAAAAGGATGGGATGACAAAAGCATCGAGCGGCTCCACTCATCTCTCAACACTTGATGACTGTATTATCTATAGATGCAGAGTCAAGCCATACAGGTCATTTTTTGTTGTTTTATTGTGATCTTTTTTTTCCCCTATGCTCAGAATAACTTCAGTGTTTTCATACGCATGTCGGCACTCCGGGCTCTTTTACTCTGAAGGCCAACAGTATCTGTATGAATGCTGCAAAGACTTCTGTGTCTATCAGTTACTTTGTCTCTTTGCAGAAAAACTACAAATCTCTGTCACAATGGCACAGAGATTAAAATAATCTATAAAACTAAATCATACCAAGTGAATGAAAGTAGAGAGTGGAGGTTTGGGCAGCTTTGGACCATGCTGGAATAAAAGTTCTCACTGAAACATCTTTGGGATTGGTGTGTTTAGTCGGTTCATAATTAAAGTCAAATAAAATGGTGGCTGACATGCAAGACAATGCAAGTTTAGAACTTGTGTGAGCACTTTATGCAGTGTTTCTAGAAGAATTTGACACCTCAACATGTTGCAGAAACACCTGGTTACAAATTGGGAGGACCAAGAGACTATGGTAGATTGAATTCTGAAAAAAGAGGGGGAGACATTTATATTCTCAGGATGACATTCATTTATGGGAGGTGGAAAAAAATGTTAAGAAGTCCGGAGAGAAGTATGTCTTTTGACCAAAAGGAATTCTTGTTTCCCATGTTGATATGGAACAGTGTATCCAAACACTAGAGCAGAAATGGTTATTATTAATGCTGAGAAATATTCAGGCATCCTTGACTTTTAAGTTGTGGAACGCAGTGCTTTTCTCCGCTTCCACAAATGGCAAAATATTCTTTGTTCCCATGCAGAAACATCTCAGTCATACTGAGAAAATACTTTCACCACTAATAGAATAAGAACTTAAGAGCAAAGACGAAGTTGCAGGCTTCTCAAAAGACGTTATCACTGGTGGGAGAGAATTCGGAAAAACTCCTCTGACTTTGCTATTTGAAGAATTTTCTCAACTTTACTCTGACTATAACGCTGTATTGGAATAGATGAAGATCTCAGGATGAGCCAAGAATACAGACTCACGAGTCAACATGGGACAAAAAATTACAATGATTTAAATTTTGAGACAATGCTCAAGGTATTTTCTTGAGAAGAATTTCCTCCCTGGAGGAAAACATTCATGACACTCTTTCAACTCTTTTCGCAATCCTGACAATTTCAGCTCATACACCAGAACTGAACTGAATCATTTTCCTGAGAGAGCAGACAAGATATCATCATTTTGTAAGTGAGCGGCATCCTAATATTCAGCGCCACTTTGCATAAGAATTACATTTTTATAAAGTTTTATAAAGTCCTGAAATTCTTTTTCTTTGAATCCAGAACAAGTAGCTTTCATTTGAATGTGTGTAAATGTATTAACTAATCATATTGTATCAAACTAAATATATTAATTAACCATGCATTTAGCCATAAAAAAAAAAAAGAAAAAAAATTGACAAATTGAATTAAAAAATTAAATGTACTCACATACATAGTGGTCTAAGATAAAGCTAACCACAATAATCATCTAAAATATTCATTGTCTTTGTGATTCTGAATTTAAAGGCCAGAATGAAACCTGAAATCATTTATGATCAAACATGATAAGTCACCCTTGATTAGAGGAGGATGCCTTTTCTCTTCATTCCCCTATAACACATCAGCAGGCACAGAGTTAAAGTACAAAACATCTAATGGAGATGAAAATTATATCAAACATTTTGGACAAAATGTCAAAAATAATCCTGTCCCAGTTAAAAATATCTCTTATTAGCCTCACCTCTGACTCTTGCTGTTACAAAAATGTTTTCCAGTATTCAGCTTGTTTATTTCCTGTGCTTCCTGACACCTGTGAAAATGGCCCTTCTTCCTGTTGTTGTTGTGTCTGTCCAGGGGAGGAATTTAAAAGCAAGTTTTTCAAGTGACACTCCAAAAGCTGGGAATTTATAAATGTCACACAACACAGCAAAGGCCTTATCCTCTTGTCAGGAGTCAGAAGAGGACACTTCCTATCTGATTTATTTAATTATTATTTCAAAGAAAGCTCAACACCTAAACACTCGTCAACAAGCACACTGTCCCTGAGACACATTTTGAAATAGGGTAAGCTTTCATGTAGTTGTGAATTAGATTAATATGAGCGATTCTATAACTATGATCCACATTTTAGTTTGAGGTTATGTTTTCAGAAAAAAAAGTGGGAATTGAAGAATCAAAAACAGGAATGGTACAAGAAGGACAGCAAATTTCTTTGTCTGAAAACTACAAAATCTGCAGGATCAAACTTGGAATTAATGTAGGTCAGTTTTCTCTTCTTATTTCATTTTTTTACGATAAATCTGAATTAAAGATGAGAGCTTTAATACCTATTAACGAATTGCAAAATTAATTTGCTGGAATTTTGTATTATTACATAAGAGTCGAATTCATAATGAGTAAAGTTCCCTGAAACACATGAATTCACCACAGGGATGTAACTCCTCAATCCAAGGACAAGGTGACACGCAAGCACACATGCACACACACACACACACGCGCACACACACACACACACGCACGCACGCACACATAATGATACAGGTATGGGAGCAGTCTTGTGTATGAGGGCAGGAGTGTTCTTAGTTGCTCAGACCCGAATGTTCCTCTTATTCCCCTGAGAACTGACAGGCCGAGGCCTCGCAACTAAACAAAGGACCCTGGAAAATAACAGGAAAGCGTTGGTGAGAAATACCCTTTATCTGACTCCCTGAACACGTCACTGCCGCCTCTGCAGAAACAAAGGTGCGTGAACGGAGTAGTAAATAACACTGATTTACTGCAAATAGATGTTCTGGTATTTACAGTTTGGCCCTGTCTCAACAGGTTGTTTATTGTAGCTGCAGAATGACAAGGCTTATTGGAGACAACACATAAACACTGCAAACAAGGAAATTAAGTGGTTTGATTGATTACACTGATAGCAGATATCACAAGTGAGGCTTGTGAAATGTAAGGAGAGGCACTTTAGCTCACACACTGTCACGTCACTTGATTCAAGAAATGGAAGCCAGTCTGATTAATGAATTCTGTGGCTCCGTCATCCCAGGGTTTCCCCCTACTTTTTTTTTTTTGTTTGTCTTAATGGTTCTCAGAAACATTTTTCAGTAAACTGGCAGCGGCTACACAAGCGGCCAGAGCCTTGACCTCAGCGACCTGACAGACTGCCGACCCCTGGAGGGATTGTCTTTTTCTTGGCAATATGACGTCAGAAGGAAAATTTTCCAACAGGTTTATTATCAATAATGGCTGACCTCCACAAGATTATGTAGAGTTTTTGGATGTTAGTTTTAGTTGACAAATAAATCCACATTTTTCATAACTGTCACATAGTCTCTTAATGTAATTGTACTACTTAAGAGTGGTTTCCTGTTACATGATTGGTGAATTGACATTTTGGTCTTGATTAGTTGGAATATTGTGTTTGGTGTAAAAAGAATTTTTTCGCTTATTGTGATTTTGTTCTTTTTCTGCTTCTCCCTGCATCAGAAAAAAGAATCACTGAGCACCAGGAACACCACACTTATTCTTGATACAGCGTTTGCTCTCAAACAACCTCATTTCTTCGTGACCGCAGGTTGTTGGAAAAATGACTTTGATTTTTGTGCTCCATGTTGACATAATTGCATCTCATCACTTCTGCAGATTCGTCAGCTGCACATTCATCTCCCATTCTACCACATCCGCGAGGTGTTCTTCTGGATTGAGATCTGGTGCCTGGGGAGGCCATTAAAGTTCATTTGAAAGCAGTTTTGGACGACTTTTGCTTTGTGGCATGGCACATTATCATGCTGGGAGTAGTCTTTAGGAGATGGTAAATTGTGGCCATAAAGGAATGCACATGGACAGCAGCTATAGACAGTGGCATTCCCACAATGATTGATATTGGTATTAAGGGGCCTAAAGTGTGCCAAACAAGCATTTCCCACACTATAACAGCACCAGCCTGGACTGTTGACACAAGGCAGGTTGGGTCCATGGACTCATGCCGTTGACACCATATTCAGACCCAGAAAATTGATATTTGTAAGGTGTTTCCATCCACACAACTGCTGCTCACTGGATGCCTTTCGTTTTTTACACCATTCTGAGTAAAAACTCTGTTGAATGTGAAAATCTCAGGAGATCAGCAGTTTCAGAAATACTCAAAGTTGGTCTGGCACCAACAATCATGCCACAAGATCATATTGTTTCTTCATTTTGATGTTTAATATGAACATTAACTGAAGCTCCCGACCTGCATCTGAATGATTTCATGCATTGCACTGCTGCCACACGACTGGCAGATTGATTAATTGCATGAAAATGCAGATGTTCCTAATAAAGTGCTCTATAGTGTGCACTATATAATGATAAATCCAAATTTTTGAAGTGGTGAATAAGTACTCACATTCAGTCCAGATTTTTGAAATGCATCTACACTGCCTCATATTGGTATGACACATGGACCTCTGGTGGCTCTGTGATGGTATTGTATGATATAGTTATTTTGCATGTATTTTCCATTCAGTTTATCCTGGAGCTCTGACAAACTAACCTCAATATGAGATTTCACTTTAATTTTTTAAATTTGGGTTCAAGTCTATCTAATTGCAATATGTCTCATGAGAATTTTATGGTATTCAGCCAAAATCAATAAGGGGGCCACTGTCACAGCCGTAAATCAACACACAAATAATTCCTTCAAAAAGCATACAGTATTAATGTGATGACTATTGGTATGCGTGTAGATCTTTAAAGATGAACAGATATAGTTATAAACCAGGTTGTCAAATGTCCAAATCCAAACGTTTTAGAAGTCACCACCAGAGAGCAATATTGCATCAAGGAAAACAATGAGATATGATCTTTGTTGTGGAAGAAAGGTACACCAGTGTCTCTCAAGAAAAGATCAACTTTATCTGATGGAAAATTGCAGTAGTAAAGAAAAGACTGTAAATAAGAGTATAATTAAACAAATGAGGATTGAAAATAAGGAATGATTACTGTCCCATAGATAATTCATGTGCCACAGTATTGGCATATGTAGAGGTGCAGAGATGTTTCCAGTTGATGGAAGCCAAGGTCAACTGAAGTTTTCAGTTAGGAGGAAGGAAAAATGCCCCAGGGCCAGATAAATAAATACAAGAACGGTGTGTGTTTGTGTGTTCACCTTTCAAAACAACTGTCAGCAAGTTAAACGAGAGATATTCAGCCTTCCTACTGTGTTTTTCTGTCTCCATTCAGGCCAAGAGACAAAATGAGACACACAGTGACGTCTGTAAAAGAATGTAGGGGGTGACCCTGACCTCGAGAGACAACACCTCCCTCATCGACTCGTGTGAGGACAATCTCCTTGTCTCTGTTTTATTCTTTCATTACAGTCAGTGGCAGAGAGCTGACAGGAATTGAGGGAGGAGAGAGATGGGATAATTTGCAAACCCAGACAGTGTGGTTAATGATCACTTTAAATTCCTATAGGCTACCAGGAAGCCTCCAATTTTTGCAATTTTATTTCAATACTTTTTTTTTTTTTTGTCATGGTCACCTTTTTAGATATTAAACTGACAACAACTAAACTTGGCCATTTGGGGGCAGCAGAAACAAGCTGTGAGGATGTGAGGATGTGAAGCTGTGTAACGTTATCATCACCCTTTTGAAGTTAATAGGGCAGTTACCTGTAAACACGTCCAGCACATACAGAGCAACAGCAATAGTTTGTATTTACTTTGTGAATTTAAGTCCAATATTCACTTCAATATTAGCTCTATTTTGGCAGATACCAAAAGATATTTGGCTCTTCAGCTGCTAAATGCTTCACTATGTTCACCAGCTCACAGGTAACTTTGCTGCTTGGTGTTGTGCTTTTAGAGTTTTTTTTCACCATTGTCAATATCAAAGTATTTGATTAGTTGATTGTTTCTGTTTTAAATAGAGGTATCTAAGGCCTCTTCAGTTCACTGAGACTGCTCTCCCACACACACCTGTTCAGAAACAAAACCTTTTCCACTTTCCACTTTGTTGATATTCACTCTGTTTTAACAAAGTCTTCAATAAAATGCTGAAGTGGAAATCAAGAAATCAGTGGTCCGTCTGTGCTTGTTATTTCCTTGATGCAAACAGGAACTGCTGCTGCCATGGTCAGACACTTGCCAACAGAGGTCGCACACACACACACACACACACACTCAGGGACACCAACCAACCAGTGTTGTTCAGTTACTGTTTTCATTCACAAGCAGTAAGCGGTTGAAGTGAACACTACATGTTAATATTTTAATGGTAGAAGCCTGAAAAATTATATAATCAAAGAACTGTGTCTAAGTGTCATCTCAGTCCACTGGGAGAGACTTTTTGTCTACGTGGGCCTCCAAAGATTTTCATAATCTGTCCAGAAGTCACCAACTGTCCAAACCCTCCGAGTCGAAGGCCATGAGAACAGCAGACCCATTGAGAACATTTTAATTCCCAGAGGCTTCCTCTGTGAAGATTCATCCATTCTAATCTTACGAGTTATCTCCTATCACATAGACTATCTCATGGGAGTAGATGCAGCTCCGGTTTGTTTACAGATGGCCACTTCTTACGTCACAAGGTCACAGTGTTTCGTGTTAAGCATTCCACGTCCTGCAAATATAATAAAACACGCTGAAGGATGGCGGCGGACAGATGGCTCAGAGGCTACTGTTGTTTGTTCTCAGCATTTCATTTAATCTTCCTTTGATCAAATGAGGCTTTAAATGGCACCTAAAAGACTCACCCTCTGAGTGGTGATTATAGTTTATCTGAAGGAATGAATTCTCAGAGTTAACTGGTGAATATAAGTGTCTTTGCACTGCTACAAATAAAAAAAATCACTTGACCAATAAGGCTACTCTTTCAATGACATGCCATTCAATTTCATAATAACATTTCATGTAGGGTTACAAAAGGTAACAAAGAAGACTCAAGCATGGGACACAAAATATGTACTAAGGTCAGGATCTCCAGATGGGTCTCAGGATGTTTAAACAAATAACATAGAAGAAAATTATTATTTTCCTTACACAAAATACTTTAAATGTAACAATACCGGCAGGAAAAATCTTTCCGTTTTCCTGCCAAAATCTGATTGTGGTCTGTGCATTCAGAAAAGTGGCAGGTTGAAAGTTCGGGCAGATTCATGTTCTGCTGCTGACGCTTTGATCGATCATTTGACAGATGTTAATAGAAAGTCCAACAGTGACAGTATGACGGTATACATCATCAACTCTGACCACACTCCTGCCTCACTGCTTCTACTCTGCCTATAGATCAAACAGATCAATACATAATGTGCTTAGCCCGGCCCTACACTTGACCCTTTGACACCTTAATAACCCAGCCAGGATCATGTTTGTTGACAAAACCTCCTCCATATTCAACGCCAAGACAGTCGTCTGTCACCTTACTCAACCAGCTCCTCTACAACTGTGTCACAATACACACCACACCAGTCAGATTTACCTCCATTCACAGAATAAGTATGAGCTTGCAAATAAACTAATTTCCATCCTGATGATTTGATTTTGAGGAAGCAATTATTGTTGAAATATCAGCCACCTCCTATTTAGATTGGAATCTAATTCCTTATTACGTATAAATGAGCCAGGGGATGAGACATGCCAGGGATGCATTAAAGTTCTGTGAAGGTTCTGTATCTGTCTTGTGTGGATAATATAAATTGTTGCTTGCATGTTGGCTATTTCAGTACATTAAAAATTGGGAATAGACTTCTTTTGGTGGTGGAAACTTGTCCATCTGAATCTGATGAGATTTAGATGCAAATCACCATTAAAAAAATTGAACTCAGCCTACCTCCTCCGTCTTCCAGCTCTCCAGTGAATATTTTATTACATATAACTACCTATATTTCATTTTTAGAGCTTGCATGAAAGCCATGCATTGGAATCTCTACAAGAGTAAAAAATTTTTCAAGGTTTTTTGCCTGTTCTTTTGTCATAAATCAACAGATTCTGGTTATTAAGCAGGTTGTGAGAAGTAGATAAGGAGCTCAATGACTGCATGATTGAGCTCAGGAATGTACTGTGTATGCCATAACTACAGTACGGCTCTAACTATGAGACCATCTCCATTTATCATACACATTTTACGTTTTTATTCTTATATATTACAAACTGTTCTCCAGGCATGCTCTTCAGAGGAAGCCACTGTGAGACTATGGAATAGACAGTAAACAAGATGCACTTCCCACTAGTGTGTATACAGCTGGGCTTGCACCAGAGTGAGGATAGAGTCACTGAATAAATGTTTGTTAAGCTGCATGCACGCAGTCATTTGTATATGTCATCTTGAAGACGCCTTAAAGATGGGGCAGTCCTCAGTGTCTGTGTGCTGGATTACTCACAGAGCATGTATGAAAAATTCAGGATATGAGCCGTAGCAAAGTTTGGTCATTTCTCGGATGTTAACACTTTGAGCAGCGAGGAACACAAGTGTGGGAGTTTACAAACTGCCAGTTGCTTGTGTGTAATCTGAAATACAAGAGAAAGTCAGCTGCACTGCTGGAGCACTGCTCAGTTAGAGCTCTCACCTTAAGACTTCCTCAAACATGCTCTCTCTCTAACGCACGCACACACACACACACACACACACACACTTTCCCCCTCCCTCTCTCCTCCCCCCCTCTCCTCCTCCTCCTCCTCCTCCTCCTGTGTAACCAACATACACACGCACTCTTCTCAGACTGAGTGTGAGCTTCTCAACAGCAACGATGACTGGAGGAGCGAGGACTGCATAGGCTTCAGTGTTGGGAGAGAGAGAGTGTGTGGTGCATGTGGTGTGCATGTGTCTGGGTGGACTCCCTCTGTAATGGTGCCCCATGTGTGACTGTGCTGACCGCGACAGCCATCCTGTCCACAGCGGAGACTTTCTCAGCATGCAGATGGTGTGAGCAGTCAGGGGAAAAGTTTGTAACAGCTTGTCTGAGCTTCAGCTAACTCAATCCACTCTGCACACACTGAGAGGAGGAGCAGCAGCAGCAGCAGCAACAGCAGCAGTAGAGCTGGAGTACAACTTCAGCTTGCCTCAGCCCAGGATTTCTGTTGTTGTTGATTGATATCCTGTCACTGGATTGGGTAAAATAGGTGTGCATCACCGCACGTCACAGCTGAGGGATTTAAACAAGGCTCTTTATTTGAAAGGTGAGTCTGCAGTTTGATATTGTACGATTTCATAGTGTTGTTTTGCCTCTTAGATGTTGTTTTACCTGAATTTTGGTGAATTTGTGGCAGTGCCCCCATTGGTCTTGAGTCACATTAACATACAATAGGAATATGTAATAGGAATATGAAGATGCTGCAGGCAAATGGTCTGACTGATGGGTCCAATCTGGAAGGATATAGTCATCCTTACAGATACAGTATGTAATTTACATTTTAAGCAGGTATCGCTGGAGGTGAACTTTATATAAATTGCAGTAGTAATATTACATTGTCTAGCATAGCAGAATATGGTAATAGGGTTTTAATGGAGCTTCCGGATCGGTGTAATATTTTGCATGTGTTTCATTTACTTTCGACACATATGACCCTGCACCACAAGCAGAGGAGGTCAGCAAGTGCCTTCAACTTACTCAACAATGATCAGAGACATCAGTGCTTTTGGTGACTGAACTTCAGACAAACTTCAAGCATAGTTCATTTTCTAATGGATTTGAACTCTAACTTAATGCCTCATTAATGTGATCTATTTCCACTGTGTTAAACTAGCGACAGAAGTCATCCAGCTGTGTCACCAGCACTAAGTGTCATGTGTCATAGAGAGGTTGGAGCAGAGATGCACCAGGGAAAATAAGCGCACAACTCTGTATTCATATATATATATAATATAATATAAAATACATATAAAAATATATATGTGTGTGTGTGTGTGTGTGTGTGTGTGTGTGTGTGTGTGTGTGTGTGTGTGTGTGTGTGTGTGGATCACACCTGTGTGGGCATGCCAGGGATCTGTGAAACACATTGTGAAAACGACTAAAAGCTATAATCTTTATATGAAGCATATTAGCAACATTGTTAGCCTGTAACAACATAAGTGAAACACCAATTTACTGTCAGTAACTATAGCAACAGCTGTGGGACAGCTGGAAAGCATCAGTTTTCTGTACTTTCAGGTACGTTTTAGTCACATCATTAAAATTCAGTGGCTGTTAGACCAGCATTTTGCGAGGCACTTGCTAATTCTGGTGCAGGACATACAGATGGCAAGACCGTTGCATGTGCCATCCAAAACACTGACCCCCCTGTCTGGCTGTCGGCTGAGTAAACAGACAAGAAAGCTCAATTATGTCTGGATTAATGTGCTAGTTGTGCTGCATGTGTGAGGATGACTGCAAATATGCACGGCATACCAATAATGTTAAAAGGAAGTAGAAAAGTAGAATAACAAAAGATTTCAAACATTAACGAATGAAAGGAGGGGAGGAAAAACCAAGGAGGGAAAATGTTGGTAAAATGGCAGGGAGGACAGAAAAAGATGTCTGCAATTTGTTTCCCCCCACCTGCTGTGATAATGGAAAAGAAAGATACGAAGGCAAACAGGGCATGAGCTGAGCTAGAAGGGGGGGTAAGATATGATGACCGCCGTGTGCCAGGAATGTCTGCAGTGCACAAGCCATGGTGCTGGAAAGCCCAGGGATCAGGTTCCCTGTGTCAGCTGCCACACTCGACTGTTCCCAGGTCTAACTCTGTGATATCTGTTTATCGAGACAGGAAGGGATGGAGACGAGGGGCAAAAGCAGAGCTGAAATCAAATTGGAAAATTCATAGGTAAAGGATTAGTTTTACATTTCGGGAAATGCACTTATTTGATTTCTGGCAGTTGAAAGAGAAGATTGATAACTACTGTCGTGTCTTACATAAGACCACAGCCAGCAGCTGGTTGGCTTAGCTTAGTACAAAGACTTGAAACAGAGGGAAACGGCTACACTGACTGTTGGCGGGTAACAAAATCTACCTATTAGAACTTCTACATTTCACTAATTAACATGACATGTCTCACTTGTATAAACTGAACAAAAACCGGTGTTTAAAAATGACAATTTGCCATTATTATTTTGTTGCTAGGCACACTAGCTTCCTGGATTCTCCACTGGTTGTCTGGCAAATGCTCAAAGGCAACCAATATTCCTTATAACCCCCGAATAGTTGATGCTGTGTTCCTAATACCTCAGAGGTCTGATGTCAGAACTGGGAATGACGAGTTAACCGCGTTCCAGTATAACGTCGGAAGCTTGTCATTGTTGTTGCTTGCTTGTTGTTGTTATTGATAACAATACCAGTCCATAGTAATGCATTATGTGGGATTTTGCACATACAAACACTGTTACAATATGTCCTAGAAGTTGGACAGTACTGTGTATACGACTGATTTTATGAGACACAGATAAGGCAGAAGTACTTTCCAATTTCAGTTTCCAACTGGGAACACAGAAATTCTGACTTCTATGCTAAGCTAAGCTAACTGACTGAATAGGTATACAAATGTCAAACTACTCCTTTTTACACCAGTTAAATTTATGGCACAGGCTAGTTCACTCTGAGAATCTATAGTAATTTCATGTTTATGGAGGTTAAAGTGCAGAGTCAGCTTAGCTTTCCCCAAACTGCTCCGGGAAGCGAGGTGTGATTTTCAGCACACTTTGTAACCTTGTGTATCTTATTTTGTGAGGAAAATACCCTCTTCTATTCACATATCTGCTGTACAAAAGAAAACCACATCAACAGTATCATTCATCCAGTTGTAACAGTCTGTCAAACACATGCAGAATGAGTCATTGTGAAGTCCTCATCTCTCCACAGGGCCGTTGCTCAGTTCCCAGACACACTGTGACACATGGTATGGAGGAAAATAGAGAGGGAGGGGTGGCAATGCAAGTGAGGGGGTATCACAGTGAGTGTATCACACCAAAAGCGCTAGGAAAGGGGGGCACATATGGCGTCTAAATCAGTGTGTAGACAAAATAGCCACTGACTCATCACATCGATTCATACAAAGCCTGCGAGTTTATTAGGCATTCAGCAACAGGAGCAAAAACTAAATTTATCTCCAACAACTAATCCTTCTGTGTTTCTGATACATTGTATGACCCAACCTCACCTCCTCTCCTTTCTCCCTGCCTCCACCCATTCACCTATGTCTCTGTGACTCACGGTGTGTTGTGTGGGTAGTCTCTGATCATGGACTTTGCATGGACCTGCCTCACAATGAAGGATAGCTGCTTAAATCCCAACCTCACTGAACTCCCCTTCAGCATTAAATCTTGATAGACCTGGCCTGTGTGTTTGTTGGATAGAGCAATGGATCAGTTTTTTTTTTCCTTTTCTGTGCGTGTGTGAGAGAGAGAGTACTTCCATCTGTGACGGCTCTGAAGCCCTTCCTCTTTCACATCCTCTCCAGCGATTAGCACAGCAACAGCACAGCAAGAAACATGCCCTCCTCTCACCTCTGCGACTTTTCAGCAGGAGTCTTAACAGAAACAGACTTCTCTTGAGGTAGCAGCTTTGGTAGCGGAGGGTTATATTTGTCTTTAACACATGTGGGTCATGGAGGCCCTACTGTGCAGACTTTAAGAGGGAAGGTTGCTTAGGGATATTTAAAGGGTTGACAGCACTGACTGGCAATGTGAAGTTCATGTTTCCTCTGTTGCATGTTCTGTTGATAGTTTTTGCTGTTAGCAGGGTACTGGGGTATATACATTGACTTTGATCTGAAACTGCCTTGGAGAGATGGTTGGTAATGAGACACAGACAGAGTTCAAGTCATTGCCAGGTGGAATCAGTCAGTTGTCAAACATGCTGACTTGCATACATCAGGAAGTGACCACATCCCAGTATTCTTTGCTTGATGGACATAGATAGATAGATAGATAGATAGATAGATAGATAGATAGATAGATAGATAGATAGATAGATAGATAGATAGATAGATAGATAGACAGATAGATAGATATTGTACTGTCAAAAGAGATGTAATCAGACTTGACAAGACTAAATGGTAGCACTGTTTTGACCCACTATAGTGTCTTTCCTGTTTCACGCACCATTGACCTTTGCATCATCCAAGGAAAGTTGGCACATGGGTTGCTGGCAAGTACTGAGGCCAATGTGGAGTACAGCAGCTGCTGCAAATGTAAAACTGAGGGCTGAAGACAGACAGATGGAGATGGCACTGTCTGCCACATGTTAAAGGTCATGAATAAACAATGCTATTAATCATTGCATCATTAAGGCTTCAAGCAAGAGATTATTTATATTACTCTGATCATTGAGAACCTTTAATATGAACACAAAATTGCTATGATGAGTTGTCATCAACATGTTTTGAAAAAATGTAATTTATGGAAAGAGATTGCCAGTTGACCATTAGCTAAACTCCTCCCCTTGACAGCTATTGTCCAATCATAGTTAGAAAAGTAAAAGTAATTAGGCATGGCAGACTTGTCAAGCTTTGGTGGTGTGCATTGTACTGTAAGAGATATAGTACTCATCCTCTCCTTTGGAGGCTGGTGTCCTAAAGGAGTCCTCTTTATGTAGTTGTTAGCATGTCTGGCTAACTAGCTTAATACCAACAAACTTTACCTCCAAGGCCAAAGAACACATCATTAACTAATTAAATGTTAACTAATACAGTTTGTGGGATTACAGGTTAAGTTCATGAACCACCACAGGATAGTATGTCCCCAGTGTGGCAGCTGGGCTGGCCATGGATGCTATCAGGTTTTAGGCTAACATTAGCAGCTTTGTACTGCTTATTGTATTTGGGGAAGTTTACCTCCCAGCAACCCATGCCAAACTCGTTAGCGTTACATCTACCAAACACATTGCTTGGCTAGTGCTTACTCTGAAATTCTATTGTAACCTTAAAACCGAAAACATATGGTATAAAAATATGTAAGCTACACAACCAAACAGAATTTTTTTAGAATCACTAAGGTCTACAGCACAATACAAGAAAAACCTATAACACATTATCCATGGATCGTCAACTGGTTATCATGTGGTAGCCATTAAATGCATATTAATACCAGCAGAGACAGCGGTTTCAACCAACTCATGAAGCTAATTTTAACTTAATTAGCTAAGAGAACAATGTTTGCCAGGTAGAGAGACGTTTTATCTGCCTCTGTTTGAAATCAAGGTGA